TATTGAGTCTTTCTGTATAGTAAGTCTCAGTAACAGCCCGGAGTTGGGAAGTTGGCGGTGTTTCGGCCCCGTGCCTCGGAGAGCACGTAAAGCCGTTGGTCCTGCGCCTTAACTCTCACCGGTCGTGTCGAGTGGTCGTCCCACCGGAGTATGAGAGTGATAGGAATAGAGAGTGCACGTTGTGTCTGCGCGTACACTTGTGCACTATAATATCTCCTGCGCAGTTGGCTAGTCTCAATGAGATTGGCCGCCGTGGCCGGAATCGGTCAGGAGAACATCATCATTATAATGATGTGTATGTGGATAATACAGTCTAAGACATATAAGTAATTTAAAAAGCATATTATATATACGTGTTTAATAACGTGCTCGTTATTTGAGATATGTGAATATGAAAATCTTAACTTTTACGATAACGTGTACATCCGTGTTGTTACTAGTAAAGCAAGGCCTATTTCATCTTTGCCGCCACGTTGCGGGAAGGTTAGAGCAGGATATAGTTTTGATTTTTTGAGGAACGAAGAAAAACTATAAATAGTCTTATATTATAAATGCCAAAGTTTGTGAGTATGTATGGATGTCTGGTTGTATAGATGTTTGGATGTTTGTTACTCTTTCACGCAAAAGCTACAAATAATTCTACTGTATGACAAATATAATTTTTCGATGAATATTTTAAAATATTCAATACTTTGGCAAACAAAAAAGTGTACCATTGAGTGTCTCACAAATTTTGATTATGATCCATAATGCTTACTGTATACTGTTACTTAAAAGCTTAATCAATACGCCCATTCATACTCTCACATATGTACATAATATACTTTCTTGGTTTCTTGAAATCATTATCTACAAATTTTGTGTTAAGTAGTGATATTTGTTAATGTATTTCTTTTACGATGATTTGCTAGAATTTGACAAAAGCAAACATATTTTATATTCTTCTTCTCTCTGCCCATTTCCCAATCACTTGGGGTCGGCGCAGTACATCTTCTGTAGTACTGCTGATAGGATTTGGCAAAAGGTTTGCGATCGGCCGCCTGCCTGACGTCAACCCTGCTTGGGAATGCTATAGTTTGCACATTCGATTTTGTTTTTTTTTTAAAACATTTTTTTATACTATTATCTACTTAAAGTTTTAATGTAATTTTCGGATATATACATTTGATATGTATTTTGAAATAAATTTTGTTTTATATTGAGCGAGGTAATTAAAGGGGGAGGATCTGGGACCTGATACTCTCAGACAGTTAGTCTAGCGCCAGGTTCTAGTACTCAATTTTTTTTGTATTTTAGTTGGTGAAATAAAATAAATTACGGGTGATAGCACTGTTTTCTAAAATTAGTTAGTTTACTTGAAAGTAAGCACTTTCTACACATATAAAAAATGTGGTTTACTTATGTCAACTCATTTATTTATCAATACATATAATAAAACTGTAAAGGTCGCATGTCTGTGCATAAAAAAAATAAAACCAAGTAAAAACCAAGTCAGGGGGATGTCAGAAAAGAAATAGATCAAATCCAGATTTATGTTAAACTAGCGGCTCACCCTCGTTTCGGTCGGGTTCGTCTCTAGAAAAACACTAATAGAGATCTATTAGTTCCCACGGGAACCGTTCATTTTTCCGGGATGAAAAGTAACTTGTTGTTTGACCGGCAACATAAGGTATCAGCATGCCAAATTTTACTAAATAAGTTGCATATGTTGTTGTGTAATAGGCTGTATAAGTTACTATAGTTTTTTAACTGTCCCACGGGAACTCTTTAATTTTCCGGAATTAAATACATGTTGACCGGGGATATAATCCAAATAGTCCAATAGTTTTGGAGATTAGCCCGTACAAACAAACAAACAGACAGAGAAACAAAAAAATTGAAAAAAATCTGGATTTGTTCTATTTTTCTTCTTACGGGGTGTAAGAAGATAACTGACTCGGTTTTTAGCATTTTTTTTCTATATACAGACGTTCGACCTCTACAGTTTTATTATATTTATAGATAGAATAAATAAAGTATACGTAACGTATACAGAATAAATGACGTAATAAAACAGTAATATACAATAATGAAAATAGTTATAGCGAGTGTACCTTAGGAGATAGACATATACTATTGAGACTTTTCTATCGACGTTTTTAAGACTTACAATATTCTTGTACAATGTTTTGATCTATCTCTTAAGGTTGAGCCGGCGTTAGCCATATAAATTTTTAAGGACAATTCGATAGAACTAGTTATTGTGTTTTCCCGTGGGAATGAATAATTTGCCTGTCGTAAAAGGTATCCTAAATGTTGATCCAAGTACTAAGTTATCACTATACAAAATTTATTACACATTATACTTAATTTTCAGTACTTTTTGCGTGAAACGCGCAGATCGATTTGACTAAGTTAGTTTTATTATAGGTATAGATAAGAAGAGATATAGTTTAGGAGATACACATATACTATTCAGAACTTTCCTGTAGGACTTTTCAAGACTTACAATTTTTTAGTATATTGTTTTAATGTATGTATGTCTTAAGGTTTAGCCAACAGGTTTCTAGGGAGCACTCGATAAAACCAGTTATTGTATCTTGCCGTGAGAAAGAAAGATTTTGTTGAAGTAAAAGGTATCCTAAACGTTGACACGAGTAATAAGTTATCACTTCACTAAATTTCGTTGAAATCGGTTCATTACTTTTCGCATGAAATGCGCATACAAAACAGACAAACAGACATACAGGCAAACAGACAAACAGACATATTTTTTTAATAACTATTGTTTTGGGGTCAATGTTGGGTACATAATACTTTAAAAATAAACGAAAACATCTATCCCACGGGAACCCTTTAATTTTCTGGGATAAAAAGTAGCCGATTTGTTATTGTCATGTAGGAACTATATTATTGTAAAGTTTTATTAAAGTCCAATCAGTAGTTTTGGTGTACTAAGCTGTATAAGTTATTATAGTTTTTTAACTATCCCACGGGAACTATTTAATTTTCCGAGATATAAATTATCTAAGATGTTGCCCGGAGATATAATGTACCACCATGCAAAATTTCATTTATATCGGTCCAATAGATTCGGAGATTAGCCCGTACAAACAGACAAACAGACAGAGAAAGAAAAAATTTGAAAAACAACTGCGTTTGTTCTGTTTCTCTTCTTACATCCCCCCGACTCGGTTTTTAGCATTTTTTTTGCTATGTACAGACATTCGACCTCTACTGTTTTATTATAGTATAATTTTTTTGTTTCTCTTTCTGTTTGTCTGTTTGTACGGGCTAATCTCCGAAACTGTTACACCGATTTAAATGAAATTTTGCATGGCGATACCTTATATCCGCGGTCAACATTTTAGATACTTTTAATCTCGGAAAATTAGAGAGTTGCCGTGGGATAGTCAAAAAACTGTATTAACTTATACAGCTCAAATACAGCTTAAAATGAACGGTTCCCGTGGGATAGATCTGTTTGTGCTTTTCTAGAGGCGAACCCAAGCGAAGCCAGGGTGAGGCACTAGTAGAAGAATAATAATTAATTATTCATTTTTCTCATTAAATATCCAGCTTTAGCGTAGAGATATAATATATAACGATATTGGTAGAAAATATAAGTTACAGTGGTAAAATGATGTCTCCGATATTTCTCGTACAATCAAATGGTATTAGTCAGAATCAGGCCATTTATCATAGTACGTAGCGAGGCTGCTCGCGCGGTCGCTGCGACGCTCGTAAATTATTAATCGGCCCGCGCAGATAAGGACTAAAACTAAGCACTGCTTCACTGTCACAGAGCTAGCCGCTGATGACTGCCTTTTAATATATCCATTTAATTTATTCAATAGTAGTGGCTCACCCTCGCTTCGCTCGGGTTCGTTCCTAGGTAAGTTTTAAGTAGATATAAATATACATTATACATAAATACTGTTACAATTAAAAATAAACCAAATATTACATCTGAATTTGAAATCTCTCATTTTTATATGATTGTTCATTGTGTTTTCTCATTTTCGCACCAATCCATGTAAAATATTTTGTGATATTAAAATGGAGTGGGGTGATAAAGAGATCGCTGTGATTGCATTACACAAAGTAGGTATGGAGCCAAATACAATTTTTAAAACTCTCCATACGCTTGGTATTAGTCAAATGTTTGTGTACCGGGCTATAGATAGGTACAATGAAACCTCCTGTGTTTGTGATAGAAAAAGATCTGGCCGTCCACGTAGTGTTCGTACGAAAAAGGGGATCAAAGCAGTAAGGGAAAGAATTCGAAGAAATCCTGTGCGATAGCAAAAGATTTTATCTCGGGATATGAAGATAGCACCTAGAACCATGTCACGTATTTTAAAAGATGACTTGCAGCGTATAAGAGAGTGGTCATTTCTTAATTGATAATTTAAAAAAGAATAGGCCTTTATTGATATTTACTTCACATCGAATTTTTATTCAAAATTCTAACTCTTGTTTTTGAGTGGTTTTGTGAGTGGAGTTTATGTTGTGGTATTAATGTTATATTGAATAGTATTAAATAGCATTATCAAACAAACATTATACAAACTTATGTCGAATATACAAAATATCTAAATATTTTAGGCCTGGTTCAGTTTAGTATTTTTCCTAAAACCCTTCAACTTGCATTAAAAATTTACATAGTACCTAGCAGTTTCAGTATAATTAAATAATTAATATTTAAGTTGTATGATCTACTCATCGAATAATTCTTAAAAGCGATCAATTAAAGAGAGCTTGGAAAATTACCTCAGACAAGTAGACTGATACTTGATCATTTGAAAATATTTATTTATACAGTTTTTTTAGTACAGATATAGATAACACTTATACAACTAAGGAATAATTTTGGCAATAAAATAATTAAACAACAATTGAAAACATCACATGTTTATTAAATAGGATAGGTTCAGTCATAATGGAAACACTTAAAGATTAAAAACTGACAAAACAAGTATATATACATCTGCTCAGCGGCGAGCCGGCGACGGCGGCTACATGGCGTCGCGCCGCAGCGCCGCCGACGAGAAGTACCTGTGAGAGCCACAACGTATATATATGAGTGTAGGCTGTCTTTGTGAGACAGCGCCGGGTACTACGGTGGGATCATTCACCAGCGACATGCGGAAGTAGCAGCGCTGCGGGTCACTGACGACTTACGCGTCTATATTATGGTCTGAATACTGTGAACAACGTAATGAACCAGTCTGTAAAGTCAACAAGAAATAATTGAATCTCTGCGTATTTTCCCGTTACATGCGCTTCATGCACTACGGTCTAGACCCGATGACGTCATTGGATCCTATAGAGATCATTTTGATTTTCGATTTTAATTTTGAAAACAGGTAAATCGTTTATGTAAATTAATAAAGTCACTAAAAGTAATCGTATCAAAAAGATCTCAGTCACATCTCGTTATAAAGCTTCGAAGCCATGCTCGGGGTCAGGGATCTGCGGGACTCTACTAGTGTCTACAGCAAGTGAACCGAACTCACTATCGCCCAATCCGATCTTAGAACCGATGGCTTCGGGAAAGAGAAAAATATTAATTTATATTTTATTTTTACTTATGCGTATGTACATAATATGTGATGTAAACTTGACGACGGGTTTGTTCTTAGTTAAGAGCCTTATTTTCGATCCTTCGAAAGTAACCATGTTTTGCGTACTTACTAACTAAATGATAAGTTTGTTTACATCCGAGCATCACGAGGTGTGCGGTGTCTGTCACGATTTATTAACTCTATATCAGATGTGCTCATTAGCATTTTATCCGAATGGAGATCTAATTTTACGTAAAATATTATAAAGTTTTATGCTCTCTACCAAATTTTGTTTGAAATAAAATTTCCGATGCCTTGTTACAATAAAAATATTATATAATAATATAAAATTAAATAAAAATTATGACATGGAACTAAATAATTATGATTTTATAAGTACCGAATATAGCAGGACCGGCAGTAGCCAGACCTCCCTCGCATTGGAGGGAGGCCCCAGAAGTGGGACGTGAAAAAGGGTGAATCATTATAACAGGCAAATGATATAACAGATATTTGGTGACTTGATTACTTTGCTAATGTATATAGCGTCGCAAGAAGTGATAAGATAACAGGAGAGGTTGTGTAGTGTGTATATTACGAGTACCATCGTGTACCTGACAGTGGGCTGGTGTGGGCGCGCGTGGTCGCGTCGCCGGGCGCGCGGCCGCGGCGCCGCGCCATACGAGCCGTCTTCCGTGCTGGACTCCGCCGCGCCCGCGCCGCCCGCCGGCAACGTGTCTACACAACCACACGATACAGGTAACAGGAGCCTAAGTGTAACTCCAGGTCACAATAGACTGTAACTCACAATTTCAGCGCGAACAAGAAGCAAATATATACGTATAAATATGCATGAACACACATACAGACTTTCTCATTTATGTTCATAATCTCATAATATAAAAATGCCATTGATGTGAAACATCTATTGGCGCGCCTTGGTAGTAAGACCGACTGGTATGCCGTGACGACAAACGGCATAATGCTGTCATAGCATCATTCCCCTTTACGCCACCGCTCTCGACTTCTTTGTGTGTGCGCGCGCGTATACTATACACGTTCCATTGTAAAACAGTCTCTATTAAAAATACTTACATATATACGAGTATATTTTACGTATATATATATATATATATATATCTGTAATTATTATTATAATTAAAATAAATAGAAAAATAATTGATTTTATTAATGAAACTCTATTTTTTCTTTATTGTACCCCATATTTAGTTATAGGTTTTTATTTATTATGAATTCTAATATTAACGTAGATGTTTCACAACTGCCGGGCGTCTCGTGACGGCCACCTTTTTTTTACATTAAACCTAAAGAATAAAATATGATATTACTAGTATATGAAACGAACGTTACCAGAGAGTCTAGCGGCGGGCAGGCGGTAGAGCTCGGCGGCGCACGCGGCGCACGGCGAGCCGCTCGACTCCGAGTCGCTGTCGCGCGCGCTGCCGTAATCTGGTCGAGCAACGAAAAAATATATACAACTATATGTCGGTGTACTGTCTTCCACTACGAGGATATCTAAAAAGGCTTGTCTCTTATAATAACCTATAGCTATTTATCATTTTTATATAATTGGCTGTCAAATATTTGACAGAGACAAACAACCGTCATTATAATATGAATATTAATCAGACTAAGAAAATGTAACTATAGTACTCAAAATATTCTGATTGTAAAATGAATGAATTTCAATTCAGTAGATATACATACGAGTATAAAGCCATATTTCTCATTTAAATATTAGTACCTGGGCTACCGAGCTTCGCTTGGAGTTTTTGGCCTAAAGTACAATTTTCTTTTATTTTTTAAAACTAAGAACTTGAATAAATATTAAAAGAAACAAAAGTAAAAACTTTGTATTCGACCAAGATTCGACCCTGGACACCTGTGATTGCTGATCTTGGACCTTGGCCGCTTTGACCTAGATGCTTATGCCCGAGCGTGCAAATTACCGACCATATTTTGCGTGGAATAATGCAAAAGAAAACTGCATGAAAACTCAAAAACACGTGTTTTCTCAGACATAAGACTAATCTAGATCGATTTATCGCCCCCGAAACCTCCTGTATGCTAAATTTCATGAAAATCGTTGGAGCCGCTTCCGAGTTTCAGATTATATATATATACACACACACAAGAATTACTCGTTTAAATATATTAGATTTTCATTTCACTTCAACATGACGGCGAAATTCAAAACATAAATAAACAATTTTTATAGCTATAATATAGCCTATATTTGGATCATTACAAAGTAATTTTCTCTATAATTAGAGCGAAAGTTTCATCACAACCTAAAATTAGGAAGTTTTGCGAGCCTCAACCGTTTTCGGAGAGTATTTTGGGCTTAATTGTTCAACAAAACAACTCATAAACCGAGAAACGGGTAAAAGAGCGGCTAACGCTGCAATGTTAGATATACATACTATAATGGTTACAGAATTCCATTGCCCTATACTTATGCCCGATTAAAGTAAGGTAACGTGATACTAAATGAAGCACTATAGCAAATGTTTTTATTTATTTTGACTTCATATATTATACAATAAAAAATAATTATTTTTACTTTAAGTCAATTTAATATATTGTAATACTGTTGCCGTAAAACCGTCATAATAATGTATTAAACGCAGAAATTAAAGACGTTGAAGGCAAGATAGATTAGGTTTGTCAACTGTCGGACCACTAAGTTTCTGAGTTTGTTCTCCTTTTTTTTTTATTTTTTTTTTAACGTTGGGAAATGCATTTACGCACGACGTGTGGGACTCACCGGCGTAATACAGTATCAGAGAAGTACCAGGAGCAAGAGCTTGTTCTCCTAGTTACATACTCTTAGTGATGTAAACGGGATAATATTCCTTGAATGGTGTAGACTTATTATGGTAATTATTAAAATTTGTAATTGCAGGTAAATATGAAAATAATATTTTCTTAAAATACTTATTAAAAACTATATTTAATATAATAATATTATTTTGTGTATTGTTATATAAATATATTATGACATTCAATTACTTTCTTTTTCAAAGTGTAATTTTTATTGTGGTAATCTTAGTTTCACAAAAATGTAAAGCAAAATTGTCAATCTCTATAATTTATTTGGAAATTAATTGAGCTAAGTAAATTCATAAGATGTATCGTAAGAAGCTGAACTCCGTCCCACAGGGGGAGGGCTGGGGAGGCAACACTTCGGGAGAGGAGGGGGAGGGTGAGGATACGGCGCGGGCACTCGGCGGAAATTGCAAACTCGCTCAATGGAACCAGAGATAATGCTAACGGAATGAACTATTATTATTTTACGGTGTTTTTCAATATCCGTATTTAACTTTATTGGAAGTATTGACTATATTGGCTTGAGTTTGCATTTCAATATTGAATGAATCGGCGCACTGTGTGTGTGTCATCAAACCGAAGCGACACTCGCAGGCAACACGTACGAGTAGGTATATACGAAATTCCGTTTAGTTTGCAAACCGCCAAGACGAAATAAATAAACCCGAAATAAGGTCTAAAGAATTGTTTTTTGGTTTGTATCGAATAGGCTCCGAAACTACTGAACCAATTTGGATGATTTTAAGAAGATAGTTTGAGACCCTGGGAAGGACATAGGATAGTTTTTATCCCCGAAATCATCCCTTACTTAAGGGGGTAAAAATTGGGGTGAAAGTTTGTATGGGGAACCAACCTAGGGACGAACCCGGCGAAGCGAGGGTGAGTCGCTAGTAAAATATAATATTCCTATCCATAGTTACTTAGATTAGAGAGGCATGAGAAAACATATTATTTTCACTCATTTATTTCTGTAAAACAATATTTTTCTCGTGACTTTCTTTCATTCCATTTTCAAAATGGAAATTAGTTTTTTTAACTAACTTTTTTAGGTCACACTTGTATTTAAAAAAAAAATAGAAATATTATTCTAGTTGACACACCATTTCATACATCACAAATGATACGAATATATGAAGGACTTATTTCCAAACGGCAAAGCATGTCGCGAGGAAGTCGGCGACTGAATGCATTTATAAAACGAAGCGAGCAGTGTTCGCGCGAGCGAGCGCGACAGATCAGCCGCAATAAAGAGCTACGGAAATTGCAGTCGTAGAGCCTTCCTGCGCCCGCGTCCGGCTTCTGTCGTTACATAAGCGTTTGTGCAACGTAGAGACTTTACTTCATTACGCTCATGTCGACACGAATGTATTTGTAACTTATTCATTGTACAATACCTTATATTATTATTTTAATTTTTGCTATTATAGCATGCTAGTATTTTTTAGTTTAGAATTATTTTGCGAAGTAATGGAGGTATTAAGCATCATTCTTTCTTCACTTTACTTTATTAAGAAGATATATTATAACTGTACGTGCACTTGTATGTTCATACAATATTGTTCAAATAATTCGTATCGAATTTTTTGAAATTATATGTCTTACCGTTGGGGTGTGCGAGTAGGTGCGGGCGCGGCGGCGGCGCGGCCAGCTCGAGCGGGTCGCGTGCGAACGAGCGCAGGTGCAGCGCGCACGAGCGCGCGCCGCCCTCGCCGCCCGCCGCCGCGCCCGCGCCCGCCCCCGGCGTGGCGCCCGACGACATGCTGAACGTGGCGTAGGGGCTGATCTCGTGTAGATCTGTTTAGTGAATTTGTCTCAAATCGTTTCTATTGACATCCGCCATAAAATATCACTAGATCACATCATAAATATAGTGGCAATGACACTAGAAGGCCTTATTTATTCTTATGGAAATGAATAGATTAAAATTAAATATGTCATTTATTTAATATTCGTAAATATAAAAATATTTACCGTCGGGTGGTGTTATTGTCTTCCCGTTTGTTTGAGTAGGCTGAGCGACGTATAGAGGTTGGCTGTGAGGGTCGAGGGTGTGTGCGGGGAGTGCGGGGCGCGGGCGGCGAGCGCGGCGGGCGGCGAGCGCGGCGGCAGCCAGCAGGGCGGCCAGGGCGGCGGCCAGCAGCGCCAGCGCCGCGCCCGCGCCGCCGCGCCACCACGCGCCGCCCGCCGCCGCCCCGCCCGCCCCCGTGCCGCCCGCCCCTGCGCCGCCTGCGCCCTCCGCCGCGCTCATGCGCGCCTCCAGCGGCAGCTCGATCGGCTCCCCGATACGTTCTTGTGTTCGTTAGTTATTTAAATATAAAAAAATAACTAATATTAAATTATTGAAAACTAAACAAGCAAAACGACAAAATGAAAAAGTATATTTTCACATTGTAAGATACTTATAATACAACACAACAGTTATGTGTTGAATATGTAGGTAATTTACCTCCATTGATTGTATGTGTCGCCGCTTTATACAGCGCGGGAGTATCACCGGCGGGTGAATGTGCTAAGATGCGTATTTCATACCAAGTACCGGGCTCCAAATCAACCGCCTGCATATACAAGTGTATAATTATGTTAAAAAAATTATAAAGAATTACCTTTTATTACAAAGCGTGATGAAATGGAGGGATGGAGGAAAGAAATAAACGGATAGAGGAGGCAGAGTGTTATTAAGTTTTGGTATAAACTATGTGTATTTACTTCAGCTGTTTCTCCGTCAGTGGGCAGCTCCCTCCAGGTGCCGCCGCCCGCGGGGCGCAGCGCGGCGGAGAAGCGCGCGACGGCGCAGCGCCCGCCCCACGCCAGCAGCGCCACGCGCAGGCACGTGCTGTTCGCCCAGATACACTCCTTGCCCACCGGCGCCTTCGCCTCTACATATTCACATACTTTTTAGATCAGTAAAGAAGGAACTTTTTATAATAATGTAATAATAATGTAGTAGCTTATTATGTAATTTTTTTTTAAATCCTTTAGGTATTAGTCCAATCGGAATCCGGTTTAGGAACAAAATATTGAAAACCTGAAGTTTAATGATTTTAAAATGTTAGCAGGTATATAAGGAATAGAACTTCGTAAAATGCCCCACATGCCCAGCTACCCCCGAGAAATGGGGGGACCCAGAGCGTTGAAAAAATTTATTTTCAATTTCCGGCTTACTGTGACGTTCTATAGAAAAATGTTTTCTACAATAGTTGTAGGTCATTTTAAAAAAAAATCGATCAATTATCTTTTCAGATAGGGCTCATTCTTTTTGTCTTGAACTCTACTTTTCGTAAATATAAAAACATTGTATGGTCATCTTGCAAAAACATCCTTAAAATAAATTTAATTCGAGAAATCGATAATTTTTACTTTGTTAACTACATTTTTTTCAATTATCATTGACCAAATTTTTATAAACCCATTACACCAATATATTTTTCAGGAAAAAACGAAAAATATGGTGTCCTTTTAGTTTTTAATTTGACGCTTATTATTTATACGAGTACAATGTCGCCGTAAACATTCCAACTTTTCAATTTGATGAGTCGTGAAAGAATAATAAAAGTTGGAACTCACGTAAAATACACCAGTGATTTTGTATTTTTTAATGCCCTCTTGAAGTTGAGGGTTATTTTCAGCCTATCGAGACCATAAAACATACTTATCTCGGAAATGGCTAAACATTTCAATTTAATTTTTTTTAAATTATTATATGTATTTTTAAGATTACATTCCCTTAGTTTCATGGAAATCAAAAGATTATTCTAAAAATTAAAAATAAAGAACCAAGAAACACTTAGAAGCCGAGTTTTTTGCAAATATCTCGAAAACTTTGAGGTTATTGTAAAAAGTGTAATAACACTATATTAACACTTATATTAATAAATAAAAGTTGTAGATTTTTAGTAGACCTACAACTTTTGTAGAAAACATTTTTCGATAGAACGTCACAGTAAGCCGGAAATTGAAAAAAAGTGGTTTTCAACGCTTTGCGTCGCCCCATTTCTCGGGGGTAGCTGGGCATGTAGGGCATTTTACGAATTTCTATTCCTTATATACCTGCTAACATTCTAAAATCATAAAACTTCAGGTTTTCAATAAAAAAATCTCTTAAAAATAAACGGATTCCGATTGGACTATATGTACGAGTATATTAACATCTTATACATGATTTTTACGATTCACTTTAATTCTATCAAAAAGTGATAATAATCTCTTCACCAATTTTGGCCACAGTGAATAATCTCAATGGGTCTAGCCAAGTGCACGGGAGATATTGTTATAGTGCACAAGACATATAGGTATATACGCACAAACACAACGGGGACTCTCTTTCCTTTTCACTCTCAGATTCCGGTAAGACCACAATTTAACACAAACGGTAAGACATCAGGCGCCGGACCGACAGCTCTTACATACACTTAGATGAAGAAACATCGTTAACTTCCCAACTATAATGGTCTGTTACTGAGAAGTGACAATTATTTGACAGAAAAATCCAAGGTTTAGAGTCGTCTTATATTATCACTATTCAAGACACTAAAATGCTATTAAAAATTTGTCTGTTTAAGAGTAAAAGAAATTAAAAATATACACGTCATAATTGTATGGAAGACTAACTGTCGCCTCTGGTGCGTAGTACGAGGGCGCGGGAGTGTTGCGAGGCGCCGACCGCGTTGTGCGCGCGCACGGCCACGTGGTAGGGCGCGCCGCACGCCAGCCCGCGCAGCGCCGCGCCGCGCGCCTCGCCGCCCACGCGCCACCACCGCGCGCCCGCGCCCACGCCGCCCGCCGCGCCCGCCGCGCTCTCCCACCCGCGCCACCACCATACCGTGTACCCTGCATGCATGTTTGTTTTCCTATACAACTTTATTAATTTTATTTAAAAACGTGTTTAAATCCTGCCAAATAGATTTATACGTGAGGTTACGTAGTATTTATTGCTGGTTTCCTTACCAAGTATAGCAGCTCCGCCGTCATGCGGCGGATCCCACGCTAGATGTAGTGCGTGTGCGTCGGCGCGGGCGAGGCGGGGCGCGGGCGCCGCCGGGGGCCGTATGACCCGCACGGCGAACACCGTCGCGTCACCGCCCGCCGCGTTACGAACAGAGCATGAGTAGTTCATTGCTGCCTGTTGCTCCATCTCTGGTATCAAAATACGTATACGGAGTAACATGCGTAGGTAATATCTAACGTTAAAAACAATGATGTTACTTTTAAAATCATATTTCAACTGTTAAATACCTACTGTGGATAATCAAGTCTCCGGTGTCAGTAATTGTGTGTGCTTGAGGTAGTGGCATCCAACGACGGGTGATGGGTGGGACTCCCAGCGCAGAGCATCGAAGCCGAACTCGCGACCCCACCGCCGCCGTTATAAGACGCCCAAGAGACGAAATTCGCGCTGACACTAGTAATTTTTTTCATTTTTTATCATTTTTTTAGTGCTTTTGGTATCGCTCATCGTGAAAAAATGATTTAATATTGACATGACAACACATAATTGTAGGTAATGTCTCCTTAAATATTACTTTGGATTATCTTACTAATTAGAAATTACTTAGGATGCCAGAAAGGAATATAATGTGTTAATTCGAATATTATATCTTAATCATTATCATTTTTCTTTTAATTCCGATGTAAAATGTTTTCCTTGAACGACTTAATAGTAATAATAGTAATGTCGCTCCTACTTAAAATCTCCGCAGTAAATTGCGTATAGTCACAAATATTTTGATAAAATATAATTATTTATTGTATGATTAATTTATTTTATCTGTTAAATAATCTCACTTAGTTGAGCAGGCGCAGCACTAACAGCCCGGCTCGGAGGCCCCGCGCCGGCCGCCGTCGCCGCGCGTATCCAGAATTCATAAACTGCACGTTCCCGAAGCCCGCGCACCTCGTGCCATACTTCACCTTCACTCTCTTCACTGTCTTCAGTCGCTTCCACGCGTTGTGACCATTCACCGCCCACTCTTTTTTAAGCAAATTTGTCAACGTTCTCATCAATTCAAAGGACATAGCATTTTTAAGTAAAGTATAAATTTCGTACTTGCCAAGTTCCCTTGTGTAGAGAGTGTAGTGAGTAAGGCGACCTCCATGCTCGGCAGGCGCTACCCACGAGACCCGCACTGCGTCTGGTCCTGCAGCCAGTGCGCGAATCATGTCTGGTGCACTCGGCACTGCAATAGAACAACTTTTTGAGAATTTGCAAAATATTTATTTCTATGAAATTATAGAACTTAAAGTGTGATTTGGAATATTGCATGCTTTACCATCTTCCCTGGTGCTACAGTGTGCAGGCGGGGACGGTGGCCCGGCGCCGCGGTCGGAGCGCGCACGCACACTGACTGAGTAGTTGGTAGCAGCCCGCAACCCCTGCAGTACTGCCTCACCTACTGCCGCCGCGCGCGCTGCTTCTGACCCTACTGCCCCGCTCCACGCTATTATTAAACGGGATTTAACATTTAAATTTATTAAGTAACTTTATATTTCATATATTTATAGCTTCATAATAATTAACTCCGAGTATATTATACTTACTTTGTGAGAAATGTAATGGAGCGTAGTGAAGATCATATCCGCGTATGTTTTGCGCGTGTGACTGTGCGGGCGGAAGCCAGCGAACTCGAAGTGATCTCGCTGACACTGCTTCACATGTGACTGAATTTGGAGGTTCCTCTGGGACTAATATAAAGGATAATTAATTTCAACTAAGTTATGTTTCAACTACAGTTAGTTTTGATTTATCTTACCGCCATCCGCTGTCGTAGCGTAAGCAAGAGAGGAAGGCGGGCCGGGGCCGGCTCGGTTAAAAGCACGTGCAGAAACTGCGTAGCGTGCAAATTGCCGCAAACCACCCAGAGTAAGCTCAGCGCTGCTCCATCCGCGTGCCACTGCGGTCCCCGCTCGAGCGCCGTCGTCGCGCCCGCCCTCAAACTCGTCTGCATCTTCTACACGGCCAACTTCTCGCCATGATATGGCATAGCCCAGGAGCTCACCGTTCCAACTGTCTTGTGCTGGGGCCTTTATAATTGAAGTATTCCCGTTAATGTTAAGAACGAACAAAACTATTATTGTCATTAATTATCTTCTACTTACCGACCATGACACATGTAAATCTCCAATATTAATAGGTCTGATGCGAATATTTTGCGGTGATCCCGTCGGGGCTGCAATAAAGTGAGTCATTTGGAGACTTGGAAAAAAAAGAACAAGAAAGGACGAATCACTTAATTTAAAAAAATCATTTTAAAAATACCTTCTTCAAGTGTAGTAAAAAGTAAAGCATCCGAATGAGGAGATTGCCCAACGTGATTAGTAGCTACCAGTCTTAGCGAATATGCAGCGGCTGGTCTCAGACCTTCTAATTTTGCGCTCAACATATTATGCCCTTCTTCATCAAACCTACAATAAAAACATATTTCGAAAGCACTTATAATTATCAATTAAATAACAAATAGGGAAATTATATAGCAGTTTTAAATATGTAGAAATAGTTAAGTCAATAGAATATTATTTTATTAGTAAAGAGATACCTATCGTCATCGGTAGTGTCGAGTGTGAGGTTGTAGTGATGCGTGGAGTGCTCCGGCGCCGGCAGCGCGTGCAACGGTGTGCACAGCGCGGCGAAGTGCGTGCGCGGCGCGCGGCGCGCGGCCCAGCGCACGCGCACCCAGCGCGACCCCGCGCCCCACAGCTGCAGGGACCGCGGCGCCTCTGGTGGCTCTGTGTCATGCAATAGGAATACGTGTTTTTATGCCTCCCTTAAATAGATATAAAAATTAGTAAAATTAACCAATATAGGTCAAAAATGCATCTTTAGAAATGTGTATAACTACCTTCAACTTGCAAAAACATTAGTAGATCGCTACGACCATACTGATTCCGCGCATGACAACGGTATTCGCCTGCGTCGTGGCGCTCTGCAGCACGAAGTTGCAAGGAAGAGCGCACTCCTTCACTTGTACGCACTTCTGATATTGTCCACCTTTACGTATACGAATAAATAATATAGTATTATCAATACGAATTACTTATAATATATGAAGACGTTTAGTATTGATTTCTCAGAGATGAGAAACCAGCTATTATAATACCAAATTTCACCAAAATCTGTCCAGTGGTTTTCTCGTGATACGTTCCTTGACAGACTGGCTGACAGACAAAGAAAAAATTTACAGTAATAAAGAATTATTTCACGAACACGAATGGACGAAATTTTTTTTTGAATTTGAAATTTTAAAATTGGAAAAAAGTATATATGTAAATAGAATTTACCAATCTATATCAAAGAAAACTGGTTCCAAATTTTTTTTAATTGATAACACTAAAGCGTCAGTAGCTACCTTAGTCTTAACATTAAAACGAAAATCCGTTCACAAACAGAGGAGAAAAATGTACTGAAGTGTTTTGTCTTTGCTTATTTATATTTATATTTATGAATAAAATAACAATATAATATTATAAACATAATATTATACACAAAATAGTGTGCAATAACCTGTATGAATCAAGGTCTAATTTGTTTCCACGATGAGTCCAGTGAACAGTGAGGGGCGGGTCCCCGCGAGCGAGGCACGTGAGGACCACACTGCGCCCTCTCACGCTCGACGTGTTACGCACCGACTCGCTTGATAGACCAAAGTGAGCAGGCTCTTTGATCGCAATTTGTAAAATATAAACATATTTTTTTATATTATTATAAGCATGACATTTATATTATACAATATCGATTACAAGTACATTAAATTATTTTTATGAAATATTTATATACCATGAACGGTAACATTGACGTGCTTTACAAGTGGGGGCCCGACACCATTGTCGGCAGTACACCGATATAAGCCTTGATGTGACCTTGTCGCAGCTCGAGCCGCCAACACGCTGCTTCCCGCAGTCGCTTGTCCGTTGTTTAAGTCGTTGGTAACGATCGGCATTCCATTGCTAGATTTCAATTGAGAATTTTCAATACCCCAGCCTGCTACTTCCCATCGATCAGAATTCTCCATGCCGCTTATTCCTTCACCTTATGTTGAGTAAATAACATTTTTTGTACATGTATTGGCATATTTATTTTAATATAATAATATACACATTTTAACTTAAATAAAACACTTACCAATTTTTCTAAACCAAGTTACAGTAGGCATTGGATATCCTTTAGCCGTACATTCTAAATGAAGCGGTGCACCTAGAAGTACTGCTGAGTCCAGAGGTTCGTTGATCCACGAGGGTGCAACTGTATGGAAAAAATCGCTTTATATTTTTAATGAAAAATTACATAAAACAGATAAAAATCTTTAGTCAACTGAAAAATATGAAATAATTTTCTTAACGGTCATAGCTTAATAAAATTAAAAAATAATATTATCAAATAGGTAGGGGCCAGCTGGTAGTAAGCTGTTGGTGAGTGGCGCACTACGAGCCTAAGATTTTAAAGCAATACCTATCTTTCGCCTAGGGGTTTACCCACATTGGTAGTCCAGAGTGAAGCACAAGATGTTAAAGGGCTAGTATTGCTCGCTTTATTAAGATAGACGTTGGTGCCTGTACTTAATTTTAGAACTATGTCAATGACGATAAAGTTAATAGTAATATTGAAATATAAAATTACCTTTTACGCTAAGAGTGGCAGTATAGTTGACTGTCGCGGCATGATTTGAAACTCGGCACGTATACGCACCGCTGTGCCGAGCGGATAATTCCGAAAACATCAAAAGCGAAAATTCATTTAAACTTTTCTCCTCTATCTGTGAAAAATATTACCATTAAATTTCGGCTCCTTTTAACATATTAGTAACCCGATATTTGTAAGCAGAGAAAGTCTAATTTAAAACAACATATTACCTGTAAGTTAGGAGGAAGAGGTGATCCATCTTTAAACCAAGAGAAATACATAGGCTTGTCTCCGGATGATACCCCACAGAGTACTTGCACTGAACTACCTTCAGTTAATTCAGTAGAGAATATAAACGGCGAGATTTTAGGAGGATCTAAAAAACCGAAATTAATTAATAATATACTATTTAAGATGACAGAATCAAAGATTAACAATTATCATATTCCTTACTCCTAACTTGTATCTCAACATCTCTGGTGGCGGCGGGCCCGGCAGGCGCCGTCACGCTGCAGGCGTAGTGGCCGGCGTCGTGCGGCAGCGCGGGCGCCAAGCGCAGCACGCCGGCGCGCGCGGACACCCGCCCCGCGCCGCCCAGCGCCGCCGCCGCGCCGCGCTTCCACCACGACACCGAGCTACACGTCATACAGCCATCATGTGGACAATTCCACTCATGTGTATAAGTCACAATTGCATGCCACATTCACACAGCAGCACTAACCATGAGAATTATAATAATGTTTCCTTTTAAATCAGAATGCTCTACTGAATTCATATCCATACTTAATATTTTAAATGTAAAAGTTTGTTTGATTGTTTGTCGTTTTTTCATGTCGAAACGAAGTCACGGATTGGCTTCCCGCGGGAAAACACGTTATAACACAACCCACAACAGTCAACAGCTTATTATACCAATGTATGATGAATCTATTCCATATTAACCGTTAAAACGTACCTGGATGTACCTAGGGACCCGAGCGATTCGAGGTGAGTCGCTTGTATAATATAAATTGCATAAAGTACATATTTTGATTTTACAGAAAACTAAATTAGGGAAATGTATGGTCACATTCGCGATTTTAAGATTTTTATCACGCAAAGATGATATTATTAAAAAGCAGTGTGTGCAGATATGTATTTGGTATAGGAATTATCCCATCAAATGCACCTCTATAGACCTGATCGGATATCCGGCGTAGGGGCAGTGGAGAGTCAGATTTTCGCCTGCGACCGCGCGGACCGTGTTCATGGAGCGGATAGAAGGGGGCCCTAAAAATATACTGCATTATTGATCACCATTTAAATGATTCAAAACATAATTAATTATCTAATTACACTCAAGGGATAGGGAATATTGACGTTGGACTTTTAATACTTATTACTTGTTTTATCTATATATACTAATAAAAAGGTAAAGTTTGTGAATTGTGAGTTTGTGACGTTGTAGGGGGTAATCTCTGGATCTACTGAACCGATTTAGATGAAATTTAGTAAGAAGATAGTTTGAGAACCGGGGAAGGACATAGGATACTTTTTATCCCGAAAATCTGCCCTTAAAGGGGTGAAAATAGGGATGAAAGTTTGTATGGGGAATCAACCATAAATCATAAGCATAATATATTACAAAAAATGTGTATTTACAAGAGTTAGAATAGCAATAGTTAAAATAATCTATTAACCGTATATGTTGAGCCGTGCTGAGTGTTCGACAGCTCCAAGCGGGTTGGCAGCACGACAAGTGTAGCGACCGCCGTCTGCTGCCGACGCGGACGTCACATTCAGAATTGACACTACTTCTCCTTGAATCGATGCCTCTTCGCTTATTGAATATCTATACATAATTTTTCTGTAGAAATGATTGCTATACAATTAGCAAATACATATAATAAGAGTGTTGGAAGATTGTATCTACCTGTGATGAGCAAGGTAGTGGTCGAGAGGGTGGCCATCGAGAAGCCACGAGATCCGCGGCGGAGGCGAGGCGGCCGCGATGCAGCGTAGCGCTACGCTGCCGCCCGCGCGCAGTGCTTGCTCGATGAACGTGTACTGTAACTCCGGCGGCGAATCTGTACGATAGAACTAGCTTACAGGAACAAAATTACTAATCAAAGTATTATCACTCTAGAGCAGGAGATAAAAATTATGATTACATTCTGTAACAATGCTAGAACATAATATTACTTTACTTCCTAAATTAATCATACTATATTAAAGTTATAAAATTGTGTAAAGTAATTAAGGTAAGAATTTAAGCACTCTTATGAAATCGCCTGTAGCTGGAAAGCGCATCACCCAAGATTTGTGTAAACGAGATGACATAACGTCTCGTCTCACATAATATTCGTAAATATTCGAAGTATTAGCTTTTATACATTTTAATACATAATTTTATAGATTGGAGAACGTCGTACATAAGTATAAGGAAATATTTTAGACTTCAGATACTAATAGAATTTAGCTTGTCAAAGTGGTTTATAATTTTGTATTACAAGAAAAAAAGTACGATTTTATTCTTGATTTAAATAAAATGAAATTATGATGTGTTTTTCACATATTCTCAGTAATCTACACTGGCGTGCAAAAAAATCTATATTATTATGTATATACATAAAATGCTTTGTACTGACTGTCTGATCGATCAACGCACAGCCTAAGCCGCTGGTCGTAGAGACGTGAAATTGGGAGGCCATATTCTTCATACAATGTAGGCATCCGCTAAGAGTTTTTCGAAATTCATCCCCTAAGGGAGTAAAATAGGGGATAAAAGATTGTATGAAACTCTGTTATTCTTAATGCGAAATGCTTGGAAAGTGGTTTTCATTTAGAATAGATACCTAATCAGATATTTTCGAAGTTTGCACCTTCAAAAGAATGTTAAACTAATATTAGTAATATTTGTTAATTTTTTATTTTATAGTATTAGTATGAATATAATTGTTACTCATAAGGCACATTCATTAATAATTAATTACCTCCGCTTATCTTTGTAGCCTGTACTTTTGAACAATTCTTGCTACAATATAATTGAAATACTGTGTACATAATACACAACAAAGAGAATAAGATATTGAGCAGGTAAATAGACTTGTTACTGTAGTTACACAAGCATATTCCAGAGTATAATAATTCATTTGCACAACCTTATACGTCCTATTATTAATTGCATGTAAACAGTGTGTAAGGGTTAGGAGAGACGAGTGTGATGCGGTTTGAGACAGTACGCCAGAGGTCGGCCCGAGAGCTGACACATTAATCAATCTCGTAGCAGTGGTACGAGCTACGGCTACGGCTGCGGTGTGCCGCGCCCGGCCACGCGCTACCCTTTGATGCTAATCTTGCCGAGCGAGCCACACAACATCCCGTTCGACCAATCCCAGAAATGTTCGATTTTACCGTTAAATACGACTGCTTTCCGTTATTCATAAATATATATATATTTATAAATTTAATTTTTTACCCCAATACATTGCTTTATTACGAATATTAAATTGAAATGCTGTACTAAAACACTATGAATTGTAGCACAGCTGTTTTTTTCAAACACTTGTTCATAATATTTGATGAAAGGACAAATATTTTAAATATTGGTGTCGATCTGTTATCCATATGACAAATGGCCTTTTGTCAATTTGATTCCATTAATATGATATATGCGCTTAATCGGGCAATACATCGCGACAAATGCTCTTCGCTGATTGATTCCGCGCCGCGTGAACACTTCATTGCGATTTATGTTCGCCGCCACCCCCCGCGACCCAAACCACCCTTACCACCCCCCACTCCTGTCGATCACTCTCAAACAATTTTTATTATTCATCTTGTTTAATGTATTATAAATTTATTAAAACATAAAACATATAGTTTATTAAAAAGTCAAAAGAACGTATTTTAAAAGGTACTTTTACATCTGAATTTACTCAATTCAGATATAGAATAAGAATTAAGATTTTATAAAAATATTGCAATAATAAATATACTTTAAGTGACATAAAAACAACTTAATCTATGTAAATAAAATGAAAAATGTTAAAACTAAAAAAATATATTTAAAACTTGAAGAATAAAATAAACCCATTTCATTTTAATATTATATGTTGTATTCAGTCCGGTTGTGTTCATACTTCACAGCATTGCAAGTCAGTATAAAAGTAAATCAAGAGGCGAAGCTGTGCTTCATTTATCACGCTGACACCCCATTACTCTGAGTCCTTACCGAGTCTCGGACAAAAAGCGCTGGAAATAGTTAGGTCGAGTTACTCGCCTGCAGGAGATCCGAGATTACACTGCACCTAACGCTGTGTTGCTAGATGCTATCACGTCTCGCTAGACGTGCAACTTTCTTTGTTACAGGCGAACAAAAGTGATTTAACATATTTTTGTACTTGACAAAAGTAATTTAAAAAGCAAAACAATGTACTTATGTACGAGTATAAGAAAAGAGACGGCAAGACAAGAAAATTGATATGATATCTTAAAAACTATTATTGGAATAAAATGTATTTATGAACAAAGAGAATTATTAATTTCATAGAAACCGTAAGTGGTCTATGTAAAGTGAAAAATATTTTTTTAAGCCTAAAAATATAATATATCTTGGGACCATAGAAATTACTCTTAAATATTTTATTATCGTGCATGCTTCACGTAATCGAGCTGGATTCAAGGTATTAGGTACCACTACTTTAAAGCATGCTTTAATTTTATAGAACACGAAGCTATTTATCAGTTAGTGGAAACGGTTAACATAGTGAGATTCTGAAAGTGAGTTCTATCAATGTACCTAAAGAATCAAGTATTGGAGCTGGAATCGAGAAGAAACGGGGAACGGGGCTGGTGGGGGCGAGCTATAAATCTCTTTGTGCCTGCGCGCTATTTGTTAGGGGCGCTCGGCGTCCGACGCGGGCACTGAGCTGCGACATTACTTACATCCTACTAACTAATGGACAACCGGACACCGTTACATCTCACTACACATTCAGACAGCATTTCATCTAAACTTTTAAAAGAAAGAAATGTTGGACATAATATTTTGTGCAGTTTTTAGGCGAATAATAATTAGATGAAATGCTTAAAATCACAATGTTTTATTTAGATTTAAAAATATCTTCTAATTAGTGAATAATAAATAGTAAGTTACTTTTTTATTTGGTCAACATCTTTGTTGTTTGAATTGTTGAAGGCTAGAAGGATCGCCAGTCGAGACGGGTCGAGGGTAGCTTCGAGCTCCTCATTAATTGGGGTTGGGGTGATTGACGCACGCGCTTAATTAGTTTCGGCACTGTGCGGCGAGTTCATCATGATTATACCGATCGGGATAATCTAATCGCGCCTCATGTGGTCCATAGTCAGCTTTATTGACGGACTGAGGTGACGTGACCACGGGCATATTATCAATACAGTTCACGTTGTGTAGTCGCAGGAAGCATTCGAGTTGGTATACAAGTTTAGGATATTACACAAGTTAGGTTTTAATAAAACTTCTTATGAAAAAACTTAATAATAAAAACTGACTTCCAGGCACTAAAATGTAAAAAATAACTAAACGGAGGTTTTCATTTAGAATAGATACCTAATCAGATATCTTCTATTTTTTACATTTTAGTGCCTGGAAGTCGGTTTTTATTTAATTTTTAAAAGTTTTTATTTTTCCATTTTAAGTGTAAACGTAATAAGCAGGTAATTTGTAAAAAGAAAGTTTTTTAATGACACATTCGATTAAACAATTTATTTAAAAAAAAAAAAAAATATATTCTGACAAATTGAGAACCTCCTCCTTTTTGGAAGTCGGTTAAAATTTCGTAACAAAATTAAAAAGTGATTATTAAAGCACCTATTATAAAAAGCTAATCTTTAAATATAATAAAATACTAAATGAGTCGAATCTGTACATTAAACATTATTATATTTTTTGGAAAATCTTATTGAAATAGTCATTATTATAGATACAGAGGCCGAATCTTTACTTTTAGGATTTTTTGTCTGTCTGTCTTTCTATCTGGGAATATATCACGAGAAACCCCTTGGACAAATTTTGAAGATATTTGGTATTGTGATAACTGGTTATCCGGGTCAACATGTAGTATACTTTTTACTGCGGGAAAATATTTCATCCCTGAGAAATCTATACTAACATTAAAACGTAACTAGAGATGAACCAGAGCGGAGCGAGGGTGAGTCGCTATTTTGAATCAAAAATATAGTTGAATTCCATTACAGTTGATCGAGTAAATTTAAAATTACAACTTGAGTTCCCAGTTCTGCGCTCTCGTAAATAAAACGAGATTATTTTAGTGATCAGGCTTAATAGAAAGAGAAATTCTGACGTAAGTTCGGTTAGTAGTTAAACAATAAATATTATAAGATTGTACTACTATATTATAAAAGAAATATGGAAAAACAGACAGTGCATGCACATTTAAGCATATGGATAGTAATATGGTATTCTCATTAGAAAATTGATATTTTCTTTACAATTAAAATGTACGGTAATATAAGCTTAAATGTGAGGCAGCTAGTGTATTTTGTTTGTCACCCCCAACGTGTCGTGGTGGGGGGGGGGGGGCTCATTAGCGTCTGGCAGTTCAGCCGGACACGAAGCAAAGAAACACATAGGAACGTGGCCCACTTTGATGAGCGGTGTACCATGCGGGTTGCCTCTGGTCCTTCTCTAACGGCAGAGTGGATCTTTGGAGTAACCTCATGGTTTTTGTGGTCTGCTTCAGTTGTCGGGGCGTTGTGGTTAAGTGCGTAAGCGATCCTGCGACGCTCAATTAAGACGGAAGAGGTTTTGTTGGGTTTTAGTGGGTAGTACTGGCTTTTCTAGCCGGTGAGTCCCACATACCTGTAAGTCTGTCTACAGGTGGTATGCATTATAAGCATTTCCTAACATTAAAAAAAATATGAAAAAGTGCATTGTGTTCGTGGAACTATTATCAGATGACTTAATAAGAAACTAGGTTAGGTTAATGCAAGGATAAAAGTGGTAAACACAAGTGGCTGCACATTGGAGATATCACACAGGGTAATATTTAGGATTACAGGATATTTTAAATTTTATTATTAAATTAACGAATACTATAAAACATTACAATTTGATCGTAGTTTATTCAACCTACATATGTATATGTATGTATAGTGTATACGTTTTTACTCTCACTAGTATATTGAAGCGGAGTCTGACATTGTGTATTAGGTGGTTATGTGATAGATGTGCTTTTACCTCTGCGTCAAAATGTCAAGGAACGAACTAACACATATCATCATGTGGAGCTAAATAAAATACAGATCCTTATGTATAAATATACTACTATATAAAACTAAATAACTAATATAATTTGATAGAAAATATTTTGCAAGAAATTAAAAAAGAAAATAATCTCATAGATACAGCAAAATTCAAGAGATGGAAAGCAGCTATAATATAGAGCGTTGATCCTCCGCAGAATTTGCATTATGAAATCTCATCGACTTAGCAGCGATTATATTAATACGCATCGAATGAATATCAATAATCTACGAGGATGAGGATGGGTGTATTATTAAACCCATATTATAATAGATTAATATTTAAACGAGCAATTCTTGTATATATATATAGATTAGTTTTATGTCTCCGAAAACGCGTGTTTTCGAGTTTTCATGCGGTTTTGTTTCGCATTATTCCACGGAAAATATGGTCGCTAATTCGCACGCTAGGACATAAGCATCGTGGTCAAGGCGCAAGTTTATCAACCACAGGTGTCTGGGTTCGTATCCCGGTCGGATGTAAAGTTTTTACTTTTGTTTTTTTTTTGTATTTATTCAAATTTTTATTTTTATTTCTTTTAATGTTTTTTGGCCAAAAACTCCGAGCGAAGCTCCGTCGCCCAGGTACGTGAATTTTCCTGAACAGAGGAAATAAATGTGATATATCTACATACCTACTTATTAAAACTTTATTTATCACTACCAGAACCCGCAGTTTTGCCAGCGTTCAAACTATTAAAAAACACTCTTTGTCTTTATATTCGGCTTTACGTAGTATCTGATGGTTTCAGATTTATCTACTCCATTTTCAAAAAAATATTTTTCATAAAAAAGTTGCTGAAAATATTTATCTTAATTTTAAAAGTTAACTATTTGATTTGACAACTAAGTAACTGTTTTGAAATAAAACTACCTTTTCGATGATTTCGCTATTTATTAATTACTAGAGGCTCACCCTCGCTTCGCTCAGATTCGTCCCTAGCTGGTACGTTTTGACGCTTGGTATGGAATAGTTTTATTCCATATTTTTTTCGTGGATTTTTCCGATGTTTTAATAGTTATCCTACTATTATTGGTATAGACGGAAGGTTCAGCAGTTTTCGAGTTATAAGTGTTGTAATAAACCCTACTTTGTTTTATATAAATAAATAACTAATAACGTCTGAAACGTTAAAAACCTTAATCTCTTCCGTGACCATATAAATACTGTAAAGCTTTCGAGACGCTGGGAACCAAAAATCAAAATAAATTGGGAAACAAAAACATATGTATATAAGTTTCGAGTAAACATAAACTTGTCTTACTTATAATAATTTATAAAAATAAAAAAAATACCGACTGCGTAAAAAGTGAACTAAAAAGATGAGAACAAGTTAATGAAGGAACATAGAATTACGCAGTCGGAGACATCAATATACGTACCAAGGCTTGTAGCAAGGATAAAATGTGTACATGCGTCCGACTACATTTTACGTGACAATCAATTGTGCTTAACTGGCACGCTTAAAACATATAATCCTCAATATATTTGACTTGAGCCTACCTCCAAGTCGTATCTCTGCGGCGGCCTGCTCGGTGCGCGCCCCGCGCCGCGCCACGCACTGGTAGAGACCGGCGTGGGCGCGCGTGAGGCCGCGCAGTACCAGCGTGCCCACGCCCCCGCCCCCACTCTCACCCCCGCCCGCTCCTGCGCCCGCCAGAGCCGCTCCGTCGTGTGTCCAGCGCAGCGCTGCGCGGGGGTCGCTCGCACTGCAGTTCAGCCGCACCGTGCTGCCTGCCTCTGCCACCTGTTCAGTCATCGTGTAATCATTAAATCATTTTTAATAGCCAGTGTTAGTTTGGTGGCTAGCATGTACGGCTGTATATTGGAAGTCCTGAGTTTGAGCCTTGGGTAGGGCCAAGTATAGTTAGGTTTTCTGTCAAGAAATTCTCATTGCCCGGATGACAAGTTAACACTGTTGCACCCCCTTACCAGGAAGAGCATGTTGAGTCGCCTGTCATGCGACTTATCTCTCATCGGTCGTATCAAGTTGTCGTCTCACCGGAGATTGAGAATGATAGGAAAAGAGACATCACATTATGTATTAACGAGCTTGTGCCCTATACTAATTTCTGGGCAGGGCTGCACAGATGGCTAGTCTCAGTGAAATTGACCGCCATAATCGGAATCGGTCAAGAGGATATTATTGATTTGAATTTGGCGATAGAAGCCTTTTGAACGTTTTCTGGGATCCTGTTGTACAAGTGTATACATTGTCCATAAAAAGAATTACTGACTCTATGTAGTCGAGTCACAGGCATTACAAGTTTGTGTTTGCTCCTAGTATCAATGCTATGCATGTCACACTTCTTGGGAAATTCGTGTATATTTTTACGGACATACGTAATATTTTCGTACACGTACTGAGAAGCAACAGTCAATATTTTTATTTCTTTAAACTTATCTCTTAATGACACTTTAGGACCTAGACTATAAATTGCACGAATAGCTCTTTTCTGCGGGACAAAAATCGTATTAATAGCAGCTGCATTTCCCCATAGTAAGATACCATAGGACTATGAAAATAACTAAAATATACTATGCGAGCTGTACCTACATCAGTAAGAAGTCTTATTTTCTTTACCACGAACGCTGCAGAGCTGAGTCTACTCGCTAGCCCCTCAATATGGGGGCCCCACTGCAATTTCGAATCTATGATAATACCTAGGAATTTAGTGGACTCTACAGGTTTTAACACTTCGCCATTTAATGTTACACCATTTTCAACAAGTTTGACAATAATAAATTATTTGAATCAAACCAATAGACAACCTTTGAGAGAGCATCGTTTACATCGTCGTGCATTAGCGAATTGCGCTTCACTTTAAAAATAAGTGAAGTGTCATCAGTGAACAATACTATCTCATGTTTGTCCTGTACAAAAAATGGCTAATCATTAATATAAATTAGAAAAAGAAAGGGTCCAAGAATGGACCCTTGTGGAACCTCCATATCTAATGGAGCTCCAGGAGATCTCTTACCATTAATATCAACCCTCTGTATTCTATTTTTTAAATACGAATTCAGAAGGTCAAATGCCTTATTTCTAATACCATAGTGATACAGTTTCCTGATCAGCGTCTCATGATGTACACAATCAAAGGCCTTGGATAAGTCACAGAATATCCCAAGTGCATCTTGTGACCTTTGCCAAGTCTCAAAAATATTTTTTAGTAGCTCAACACTAGCATCTGCCGTGGAGCGGCCTTTCGTAAATCCAAATTGTTTCTTATGAAGTAGATTGTGTGCATTGAAATGCGTTAACATTTGCGCGAGTATGATTTTTTCAAAAATTTTACTAAACGTTGGCAGTACCGAAATTGGTCTAAAATTATTAGGGTCTAAGGTACTACCTGATTTAAAAATAGGAATAATTTTGCTGTGTTTCATTAGATCAGGAAACGCACCACGCTCTATACTGCTATTAAATACAGTAGCTAGATGAGGTAAAACAACATCAATTACCGAACTAATAACTTTTACAGATGTACCTCATCGGTCAGCGGTTTTCTTGACATCCAAAGTTTTGAAGGCTGAGATGATATCTTTGGGGGTATACATTTTTAAATTTAAATACTAAATTACATTCTTTAACGTGTTCCTTGAGTAAAGATTCGGCAATGGCGGGAGATGAATTGAGTGATTGCGTTGTCGAAATTGGAATGTCAGTGAAAAAATTTTCAAACTCAGATGCAACTTCTAGGTTTGAAGTAATCAAATTATTGTTGATATTCAACTTAAAATCGAAGCTGCGAACTGTGACTCTTCCATTTTCACAAGCAATTATGTTTCATGTCACTTTTACTTTATTATGTACATTTTTTATTTTGTCTTTAATATTCAAAGATTTCGCCATGGAACATACTCTCCTAAACATTTTTGAGTAGGCACTTACAAAAGAAGCAAACGATGATGATTAAGAGCTTTTTCACCATACAGTTCATATAGCCTTTGCATGCTCTTGTAGATGCCAAGAGTTGCCCATTCACTAAATGACAAGATACCCCCTGAATTGACTGTTTTAGAAGTAAATATTGTAGAAAATTCTGTTTTTATTAACTTAAAAAAAGAATTATATAAGAAGTTGGGTTCATTACTGTAGGATAAATAAGGAAGTTTTGCTACAATATTACCCCTGAACTTCTCCATACGTGTAGTGCTTATAGGGACAAAAGCCTTTTTTAACATTTTTTATTGGTATTTAAAGTATACGAAAGCCGCTAAGTTTGTTATATTATTTTTAAAACAAATTGCTATGAGCACGCTTACCACAACCGGTGGTTCCACGTTGACGCTAAAGGAGTCCTGTACGTCCACACGCATCTGTGCTGTCGCGTCTCCGAACACATTGTAGGCCTTGCAGAGCCAGGCGCCGCTCGCGTCACGTGACGCGCGCGTGAAGCACAGCGCTGCGCCGCCCGCCCATAGCCAGATGGACGGGGACGGCTCCACCGGCTGCAGACGACCGTTCCTCTCTCGATACCAACTTTATTTACAAAAACAAATTACATATAAATAATATTATAAATGTGAAAGTGTGTTTGTCTATCCTTCTTTCACGTCGAAACAAAGTGACGGATTGGCGTGATTTTGTGTGGAGATATTTAGAGAGCTGGAGAGTGATATAAGCTACTTTTTACTACGGGAGACTATCTCATTACCACGGGAAAATACTTTATAATATAATCCACAACAACTCATTTTACCTATGTAGTACCTGGGCTACCGAACTTCGCTCGGAGTTTTCGGCCAAAAGTACAATTTTCTTTTTTTTTTAAATAAAAACTTGAATAAATATTAAAATAACAAAAAAAAATACAAAAAACAAAAGTAAAAATTTATATCCGACCGAGATTCGAACCTGGACACCTGTGATTGTCGATGATGCCCCTGTTATCAACATCAACAAACCACATCAGTCCAAAGAAAAGCAAATGTAATAAAAGTAAAATTAATGTCTTTAATATTAAGCTATACTAACATTTGTGCTCATGAATGAATTCCCTCAACGGAACTCGAAGCCGCGACCGCTGGTATAGCCAGTAGCGTCACTACAAACTGAGTCGAACTTGTCATTATGCAAATGAAAGTTAAATATTTTTTTTATGTCCTTTATGTATATGTTATAAATATACTAATGATTCGATCTCGCTTCGCTCGGGTCCGTCAGTATGTCGTTTATATGTTTACCTTGTTAACCAACTGTCATCATCCCAAATATTCATCAATATCTGTCTAGTAAGTAATATTGTGCTATTTGTGGCATATGCCATAATAAAGTTCTTCTCGTACGGCAATAGAGATTACCAGACTTTCTATATTGACAAAAATATAAAATAAGTAATGATTGTTATGTATATACATAATATGCTTGTTTCTGTATTTAATATTGTTTACTGTAAATATTTTTTGGTCATAAAATATTATAATTACTATTATTAGCATGTGTAAAACTAGTGAAACGATGGTAAAGCATTTCCAACTTTGTAAAGTCTGCTACTAAGTTAGTTGAAGGACGATGTATATATTTGGATTTTATTGTTATAAGAATTATTAATGTTCAAATAAATTATAATACATCATATTTTTTTTTTATTTTTACCCTTTGCGCCTAAGTAAAAATATTAATGAACAATAATATGAATATATATATATATATATATATATATATATATATATATATATATATATATATATAGTTACGTATATACCTATATAGAAAGTTTCCCACTTTAAAATAGAGATGGCGCTTTTTAAGCATAACCAGTTTCGACAGCGAAGTTGTACCTCTATTTATATATGAAGCAATATTATACTCTATGATCTTGCGCCTTGACCGCTTGATCACGATGCTTATGCCAGAGCGTGCGAAATTACCGACCATATTTTGTGTGGAATAATGCGAAAGAAAACCGCATGAAAATTCGAAAACAGGCGTTTTCTCAGACATAAGGCTAATCTAGATCGGTTTATACACAAGAATTGCTCGTTCAGATATATTAGATAATACTAGCTCTACCCGCGGCTTCGCCCGCGATCAAACTACTAAAAAAAACAAACCCTTTGTCACACCGACAGCAGCGCCACCTACCGTGTACAATTGTGAATCTAAACCATTCCCAGATCCCCTTGAACACACACAAAAAATTTCATCAAAATCGGTCCAGTCGTTTGAGAGAAGTTCAGTGACATACACACTCACAGAAGAATTATATATATAAAGATGTATATAGTCTGTCTATTCCATACTAAACGTACCTAGGGACGAACCCGAGTGAAGCGAAGGTGAGTCACTAGTAACAAATAAATGTAAGTTAAGATTTATAATTTCTGTTACAATATTGCTTTTATAATAATTATTACCGAGAGTTTCGAATGACAGATATTGAAATTGAGAGCATAGAGAATTTTGTGATTAAGTATCCAAAGTTTTTAGTTTAGGTTGTTGAATTTTGTACTCAATTGTAAGTCTCTCAGGATAAAATTATAATATGAAGGGCTATCATTACGTACGTGTACTGCGGCGGAGGGTACTCTGAGGCGACGCAGGGCATGCAGAAATTAGTGCCGGCGGGCACGCTCACTTCGCTCTCGGTCGCCACTAGCCGCGGCGCCGAATTTGAAGAGCTCGCTGCAAGATCTCTTATTTTAGCTACATTTTTAACTAAAATACATTTAAAATGCTACGTTATTTTCATACTAGTACAAATAAAGTGTAATTAAATTCATGCTAAGAACTTGCTGGAATATTGTATTTTCTTTTAATTTCAAAGTAGTATTAAAATATAACTCACGTAGTACAGTGAGGTGTGCTGGTCTCGATCGCTTGGTGAGAGCGGTGAGGGAATGCCTGGCGAGGCAGCTGTAGGCGCCGGCGTCGGCGGCGGTCGCGTCGCGCAGCAGCAGTGCGCTGCCTGCCAGCAGGTAGCGCGCGTCTGCGACAGCGACGGGTCATACACCGGGTACAGTACCGAGCATCCATAGCTATTACTGAACTATTAATCAAACTGCTATTACAAATGTGAAAGTTTGTATATTTGTTACTTCTTTACGCCCAAACGGCTGGACGGATTTGGATGAAACTCAATATAAAGATGAACTATGACCTGAAGTAATATATTGGCTTTTATTATATGTACATATATACATATATAAAGGCCAACCCGCATTTGGCCAGCGTGGTGGACTATGGCCTGATTCCCCTCGTGCTGAAGTAAGGCCCGTGCCCAGCAGTGGGACGTTAAAAAGGGCTGAATACATACATATATAAAGATGCTTCCGAGCGAATCGAAGGTAAAATTACCAGTTAAATGCTTCAAAGAGTTATTGAATATTAAAACTCTTTATCTTACTTCATAAATCATTGCGTAAATTAACTATTGTGTATCAATGAGTATTGTGAATTTCCCTTCCCCAAAATACCTAATACGAAATTAACAAGAAAGTTTTAAACTCACTTAAAATTAAATCAAGCTTCCAATACAAATATGTCAATCTAATCGTACGTTATAACAGAATAGTTCGATTTAACTATTATTTAAGTAGCACTTTGCTATCAAAATTCTTAAGCTCTGAAACCAGTCACTTACTGCAGATGCTCAATGAAACCGCCAAAGTCTCATCACAGCGGCTAAACCGTAAAATATACAGTAACTCTTTGAAAGACGTAATTACAGATAAGATTGTTCCATTATTACATACTGCTATTCTTGTAGTTCTAGTGAATGCCGGAATCAGCGTCTCCAACGGGATTATACCAAGTCTTATCCAACCATTCATCACGTCTCGAGTCTCCGATGAGAAATTGCTTTAATTAATATTACTTCGCTCGCGTTATAAATATGCTGTCGAGAAAACCTCTCCATTGGGCGAGGCCCGCGTTAATTAGGCTCTCTTCTTCCCATATATTCAAAGCTGTAAAATTCAGCTTTAGTGCGAAACCCTTGTTATATTCCTGAGTCGTAAATTAATTTTACACATTCATGAAAGTTTTATGAGCGCTTTAAAGTAAGATTTTCGTAGCTCTCGCCGATATTAATTATTGCTAAAGTTTCTCTCTAATCTTTGAGCCAGTTAATGCGAAAGTAAAAGCACAAAGGATATCACAAATAATATTATTGTAGTATAGTTAATTATTTATGTTGAGTTTCTCTCAGAACGAAAATTGTTTTACATAATTTTATAATATACTAAGGTTAAATATAAAATACTGGTTGAACAATTTTTTTATTACCACAGATGAGTACGAGTACTATACTGATAATATGAATATCGTATTACGTTACCACATAAAAGCAGCGTAGTCTTGCACTATTGGATCAACACAGCAAGACCGCGTTTCTTCATTTACTTTTTTGAATATTCATTGAAACCGTAAACCAATTAAGGTGGGGGCAGACAGCCTGAGCGTATCAGCGCGAGGGCAGCTCTCCGTATTAATTAACGTCTAAGACGGGGCAAGCCTGGGGTCAGCGGACATTAGTCGTGGCGGATAGATTTATCGGTCCGCACTAACCACGACAATTTATGTGCCGCTATAACTCACCGCTCTTATTAAAAGAAAACTGTCTGCCTTATCGCCGCCGACACAATGTGCCGGATATCCCTTAATTGCCTTCGGTAACGAAGAATTACTTTCATTGTAATTGTTAAAAGACTGTTAATATTATAATACTTAGTTCTTTAAGATATTATTTTTATAAGCTTCTTTTGTGAAATCTTTTCTTTAATTTTGAGGTTTAGTTTCATATTTAAAGTGTTGAGCTTTAAGTTAACTTATCCAAGTTAGTGCACATGACATCTCAAGTACTACATCAGTTAAAGTGCATCATTTAAAGTATATTTTATAAGTCCGCTTAATATAACGTAGAAGATAATAAACTGTCACCCATATCGTATAATTTAGATATTTTTTAGTACAAGAAAGAACTTGATGTAGGTATATTATCACGGTTATTGCCCGCTTCTTTCTGCTTCGTACCGAAAAAAAATAGAAGTTATGAAATATAATGAATTAGATTGAAGTTAAAAGAGTATATTACCGGGGCTAGGTGCGTCGACGTGCAGCACTCTTTCGCCGCGGTAGAAGAGCGCGGGGGCGGCGAGCGGCGGCGCGTGCGCAGCGGGCGACGTGCGGCACGCCAGCGCCGCCACGCCCCCCGCCGACACCGACGCTCCGGACATTACCACTTCCCATTTAGTATCAGCCACTAACATAAATTATGCAAAACTAATTTGAATTAGCAAAACAAAACAAATTGAATTACACATATAATGTTATGTCATATTAACAATAAGCCGAATAACATGAATCCTTACTATAAATATCCTTACTAATATTATGTATGGATGTATGGATGTTTGTTAATCTTTCACGCCAGAACGTCTGAACGGATCTAGAAATTTGGCACAGAAATAGATTCTTCTCCCGGAAAAATATGCGGTTCCCCAGGGATAGATTTGTTTTTGTTTTTCTAGAGGTGAACCCGAGCGAAGAGAGGATGAGATATATTGGAGTAGACTATGAGTGTGATTTGATTGTATAGGAACCTCTGTTGCTTTCTGGCTTAGACTACAAATTATGAATTTGGTTAAACGCATCACATTAAATTATAATTAAGTTTTTAATGTGACCTCTGCAGTTAAAATGTCCTATTGATACTTTCTTAGATTTCCGCGAATATTTGACATTTTAAATAAAACTATCTTTTCGGATTATTTCGCGGATTTATTTTGATTTTTGGTTCCCGACGTTTCGAATGCTTAACAGCAATCATGGTCACGGGAGAGACTAAGGTCTCGAAGGTATAGTTGAAATTCAAAATTCAAAATATTTTATTCAGCCTTAAATTATTACAATTTCTTACTGAACGTCATGAGTCTACTACCAGTTGGGAAAGAAGAAGCCTCAGACCTTAGAAGAACTGGCGAAAGAAACTCAGTGGGACTAATATTAACTTGTTAACTTTTTTTAAAGTAAAATTATAATTTACAGTATTTCTATCAAGTTGAAGTAGCCTGGATGGTGATCATTTCATTCCCAAGGTGTGCCATATTCTATAAAATCATTTATTGTATAATAGCCTATATGTTGACCCGGATAACCAGCCATCATCATACCAAATTTCATCAAAATCTGTCCAGTGGTTTTCTTGTGATGCGGTAACAGACAGACAGACGGACGGACGGACAGACAGACAGACAGACAAAAATTGTAAAAACTATAGATTCGGACTCTGCATTGATTATAATGTCTATTTCAATTAGATTTTCCAAAAAGTATTTAATGTACAGATTCGACTTAGTCACAATTTTATTATATGTATGTATAGACTTAGAGGTTGGCTTACAATTTGTGAATATATTATCAATACAGGTAGCACTGGTAGCAGTGATTCTACATACTTGGTTCAAGAAATAAATTATTCAGGTTATATGATAGAAGCATGGATTTAAATATGAGACTTATGGTGGAATTATCTAATAAGTTTATATTAAAATCCCCACAAACATTTTCTGAAAAAAATTAATCTTACTGTTATTGATATCCTATAAATATAATATGTATAATAATTCGCAAACCTGGATGTAATAGCACGTCTCGTGAGATGATGGCGCCGTGTGGGTTGGCGGCGCGGCAGCGAATGATACTCGTAGTGGGCTCGTCGCGGTACGAGCTCGACGGGAACAGCTCTAATGTACCGTTGCCGTATATCCGTCTGTTACGTGAAAATCACTAGCGATATAAGACATCTCAGTTTTTTTTTCATTTTTTACTGTCCACAGTGATTCATAGATGTATGAAGTTAGTTCCTTGTTTAAATAAATATCTGATCACTCAGAAATTACGCATAATAAGTACGCAGTAGAGAAGATAGAGGATATGAGTAACTCTGTGAAATCGTATTGGAAACCACTTGAGCTTTTTCGAAATTGAGAAACATGGTCATATTTCCTAAGTCCGAAAATGAACCGTATACATAGATTTTGGAGACGCTGACGTTTATTCAAGTGATCCTCTTTGATATTGAGAGAACACGAGCAATTTTGGTTGGAATGGAGAAGGAAATTACACAATTTACGAAGAGAAGCTACTGCTCCAAACATATTCCGACTCAGTTCGCTTACGTGCGAGCGTCATGACAAATTTTGATCGATAATAACCCCCAGATTTTTATCTTTCTCAGTAAAAGGTATTTGAGTACTATCAAAATATAATATCGGTGGTATTTGCATAAGTTTAACTTTAATAAGCAGTAGTCTCTGACTGCCAACAATGATTGCCTGAGATTTTGTCGCGTTCAGATTAAGTCCATATGATTTCCCTATGATGATATCAATGACAAATCTTTATTATATCTATAGTATGATGTAAATTCAACACAGTTGTCGAGGCATAAATTTGCAGATTGTCGGCATTCAGGTGGTAGTGTGAAGAAATTTGATGACTAACAGAATTTATAAAAAATAAAACAGAAGAGGACAGCACGCTACCTTGTGGAACACCAGCATTAATTACAGACCAGTCAGAATACAATTTTAATCCGTACTTTCTGCCGGCGATAACACAACTAACAACAAAACTAGTCAACTACCTCAGGAGATATGTTTAGAGAACTATAATGGCAAGTAAAATGACATCATTACGTACGTACTCATATATGTCTATAGGTATTTTGTTTGTAACGTTAGATTGGCGCCGTCATTTATTATCGCTGAAGACAGCTTTGTAGTCTTTACGTAATTTAATTAGAATAAAATAAGTTAAGTGCACGATAAATAACGAATTTTATAAATATCTTACCGTCACAAAAGAGAGCAAAAAAGCGAACTCAATATTCTGCTCGTAAAAAGAACAGAAAAGCCTCTTAAACTTTTAATATACAAGAAGATTATTTCGGAGACTCTTCGATAAACTTTCAAATATTTATAGCAATAAAAAGCTATAAAATGATGAAATGTTTTTCGGTAACAAAGTAATGTACTTTTTCATGTCACTTTTTATCTTTAGTAAAAATGTGAAGTCGTTAGAGCGAATATGAATCGAGTCCGCGATAATGGCGGTGCTTTGTCTTGGCAGTAATTATAAAGAGACAAATTCTAATTGCAATCGTTCGGTACATTATTCTTTCCGTCCGCACGAAAAATCGCTCTCATTAAAGCTGTTTGTTCGCAGCGGACGAATTATAAGAATTTTCATATCTTAAGATGTTTTAGATTTTTTAGCGGAGACAGTTAAAAACTAGCGTTCATTATTTAAGCTTTCTTTATCGCGGAACTTCGGTAAGTCTCGTTAATTTACATTGCCTTTAGCGCTTTGTTCGGTCTCTATACTTTTAGTTGGTATCATTTTGGGTTTTTATTACCCCTTAAAAAGTTTTACTTTAATAAATTATATTTAAGATAAGATAATTAGATGAAATATTTAAAATATTAGATTTTTGATAAATTATAATTTTAGACCCCCAATTCTTTTCTAACTCCGAGCTCAGTGAGTATGTACTTTAATAAAAGGTAGTGTACCTGAGTCCCGGTGCATCTACGAGAGGGCTGCCGTCCTCACTGATCCAGGATATCCTGGGCGGCGGGTTGCCCCGCGCGGCGCACGGCACGCGCGCGCCCGATGACGCCGCGTACCGCACCAGCGCCGGCGGCTCCAACGTGAAGGTGGGGCCCAGGCGCGTCAGCGCGTCTGATGACACATCTAGATGGAGCAAAACATAGCTAAGCTTGCATGACTTTATCAAAATAGTTATGTTTGGTGAGATACATCTGTTTCTTAAGAAATAAGGATGTACATAATTCAATTAATTTCAATTTTCTTGTCAATGGCTTTAACGCGTGCCAGACGAGTACAGATTACCTCGCCAGTGTCACGTACAATTGAGAAGACACGAAGGTGATTGGTCGAATAAGAATGTAAATAAATATAATTCAAGATGTGATGTTGTTCATGATAAAGTAATATAATTTCCATTATGAATTATTCCTCTTGGATAATATAGTAATGTCAGAAATCTAGATGTCATATACTTGCTGAACTATGGTGGCAGTGAGGGGTCTATCCTCTAGTATAATAGTTTTTATTATGAAATGGAATAATATTTTATTATACCTATTTAAATAAACAATTTTCGATCGATTCGATTTTTGATATCTGATCACTTCTGACGCGAAAATTATAAGTTGGGACTTTTGAACCAATATGCTAAAACAAAGGTATACAGCAAGTTTATAGTCAGTTTATAGTAAGTAGTATTGGGACAAACTTATTTATTAAGAGAAGTATTTCAGATCAATGTAAACTTTTCAAACATTTTCTTAGGAAAACAGAAATTCAATGGTCCAACGGATATATTAACGAGAGTTTATTTTATCCCAAGAATAAACCCTTTAGGGGTTACCCTAATGAGGGGGTCTTCCAAGAATTCATTTTTATTAACTTTATAAAAAACCTCTCTGAAATTAATACATCTAAAAAGGAAAACAGTAAACACTGCTCTTGAGATTACTATAAAGGTGATAAAAATACTAGATAACTAAATACATACAAAATTCCATGAAGTAATTCTTGTATTAGCAAGTTCTATGGAAAAAGTCATAATTTACTAGAAACGAGCCGAGCCCTCCCATGACACCGACACCCCATCATACAGCGGAAAAATTCTTTTCGCAAACAACGAATAACTTTAAGCCACTTAAAAGTCTAGCGACAAAAGTGGAGTTTCAAAGTGTTTGACCCAAAAAAAAGACAAAGTTAGAAACTTGGGACTTGCGATTGTCCTCTAATGTGTAATTCGCCTAAGTCAGTCCGCCGTCTGCGGGAGTTTTTCTATCAGCGTCAGTCTGTCAGCGCTCATTGTTTATCCATATCTACTTACAAGTGAGTGGAGCTCACAGAAGACCATAGCTTCGCGAATAAACTTTATAATATAGTTGTCTCCGACAAAAGCTATTGAATTTTGGGTAAGTACTTAATTAAATGCTACGTTTTGCTTCCTCGGCTCGTATAAAATTGTTTAATTAAGCGCACACGGCGCTGTCTCGCTTGCGTTCGATATCGTTCTGCACAATTGATTTAATCAGAGCATGTTTCAGCTGATTTAATTATGAAACTAAAAGCGCTGAATGGAGTCGTTATTTGCTAATAAAATTTAGTTTGAAACAAAGGGTAAGTAATAAAATGAATATGCTCTCGTGAGATGTATTGTGTACAGGCGGCGTTCGGATCGAGATATTGTACGAGTACGACATTCTCACAATATCAGGCTCAATTATTGTAATATATACATTATAAGAGAAAATAGCTATGTTTTCTATAAAAAATAGTCTCTTAAGTGGTATTTTATGATAAAGTGAAAAAATATATAAGTTTTTTTAAAAGGGCTTTAAACTAACAAAATTTATAAAAAAATATAAAATACATCTTACTATACTAATATTATAAATGCGACCTTTGTGTGGATGTATGGATGTTTGTTACTCTTTCACGCAAAAACCACTGAATGGATTTTAATGAAATTTACAGTAATATAGCTCATACATCATAATAACACATTGGCTACTTTCTATCCCGGAAAAATGTACCGTTCCCGTGGGATAGATTTGTTTTTCTAAAATATAAAAAGGGCAAAAACAAAATTGAGTTGACTTTTTCATCGTCGTTAATTAACTGGTCAGTCGTTAGTTAGGACAAATTTGACCATACTGTTAGCTTATTACGTATTGTGGTAGGCATTGTAATGGCTGTTTAAGATAAGGAAACGCTCCTCAACCTACACGGAAGCTAATTTTCTTAATCAGTCTTTTCACTTAATAACAACTTTACAGTTCGGTCATAAGCATTATTTTATCGCGGTCGTGATTTTGAATGTTTTGAAAGTTTTAGCCTAATATTTGATTTCTCAATTAAAATCAAACATTTTTAACCAGTTTTCAATTATACACCGTTTCATTATGACTTAAAATTGTGCAGGTAAACTTCTTTAATTAAAATTGTACTTACTTGCGAGAAAGCCTCCAAGAGCAAATAAAATTGTTAATAGCATGTTGGTTCAGTCAGAGATGCATCTGTGGACAGAAAACAACTTATTATTTCTGTTTCGAAAGAAATGGTATACTTTAACGAAATATTAGTGCAGTTTTTGCAAGGTGCTTTGTTCTCAAAAGTACATAATTTATCATTTAATGTTGCAAATGTGAATGATATGATACGAGTATATGATACGAGTATATCTGGCATCGACAAAGAACATCGGTCTCGAGCACCCAAAACAGCTCCATTATAACTGTTCTGTACGAAGTATCGAACTACTAGGACACGTTAAAGAGACATAATATATAATGGTTAAAGGAATGGAAATGGAAAAAATGGTTTTGTCCATGAAGGTCGTTGGTTCGAATTTTGCTCTGGAAAATGTTTAAACTTGCAGATACGGGTTCTTGGTTTCGATAAATTGTGGCGTAAGAATTTACCACCAAAGCAGTTATAAGTGTTTGATGTGTTATGACTTAATTGCACTTACACAGCTGTGCGTATTTCTATGAAAACTCATTCAGAAATAGTTTTCATGCATACTACAATGATACAATATTATTGATCTGCAAATATTTTATTCATAATTTATAAATCTAGTACATTATAATAGCTGTTATAGTACAGACTCAGTCTCTAGCAAACTGTAATTTTTTACAATATTAGTAAGATTTATATATTAAGAAAATTAAAATACAGAATCAATATGTTTATCAAGTGAACTGGATTTCACAAGATCTGTTTATGTTTGGATCTTGTGGATACTGGCACAACGTAGATAGTAAATAAATATATTAAGTGTTTCAAAGCATAAAAAACCTTTTACTGTTTATTAATTAAATAAATATGATTGTAACCTTAATCGCTTTCATTTGGTACAACTATGCCACAGCTTTGAGTAAAAAATGAGTATAATCTTGAACATAAAGTACTACTCGTAGTCGTTTAGTTTAGTATTGTTTTTATCAGCTGATATTACTATCATAGATCTTGTTTTAAATATTATTGATTTTGAGTCCGTGTAGTACACACACATCGCGATGAGGCGAATTTTCGGGTTATGAGATGTTTTTCGGTATATACGATATAGTATGTATGCGCGATTTTTTGTATAACTTTTTTTTTGTTTTGCCAAATATTCATGAATACTTCGGCACTTCGGGTGTAGTCGAAAGTATATCGCTCCGCTGTCTCGGTAAACTCTTGCACATCAAAGGGTTTTATCTTCCCTGACGTAACTATCAACTCTCTAATAATAATAATGTTCTCCTGATCGATTTCGAACACGGCAGCTAATCTCACTGAGATTAGTCAACTGTGTAGGAGGTATTATAGTGCATAAGTGTACGCGCAGACAAGTGCATTCTCTAATCCTTTCACTTTCAGAGTCTCAAAGTATCCTTGCTAGGGCCCACCCGGGACTCGAACCCAGGATCTTAGGACCTAGAGCTGCACAAGTTATAATACCAATAAGGTATTTTTTTATTTGTATTGTATTCAGGCCTTTTTCACGTGCCACTGCTGGGCACGGGCCTCGTTTCAATACGAGGGTAATCAGGCCACAGTCCACACATGAAATTATCAGAGGTTCCCAAGCGAGCGCGTTATCACTGAGCTACCATTGCCTTTTTTTATTTACAAGTATTTAAAACCTAGCACATTGGATTAGCTTAAAATGATTTTCATTAAATATTGAAAGGTGCCTACGATTAACAAATATGTGATCCAGGGTGTAGTATTCATTATTAAGTTGCTCTCAAAAAGATCTGCTCAAAAAATGACGGATAAAATCAGCGGTCGCTCCTCTAAATGCTTCATGTTGCTCTTCTTTTTATTATTATGAATGGAAAATGTACGTACACTCAATAATATTATATTAGAACTAATTGATGTTGCGAGTAAGTCTAAAAGCCTTTTACACAACAACGTACGAGCACGCAGCCGGCAGGAGGAAACTGGAACAATTACGTTAAAACAATGTTCAATGTACATTAGGCCTCGGCGGGAACATTTGATGCCTCGCTTGTCGGAAAACTTGGTTATGTCGTTCATTCTTGACTAAATAATAAATATGTTCCGAGAAATACTGCACTATTTGTGTTCAAAATGTGATACGTGAAAAGATTCATCAGACAAAAGATTATTTTCTAAAATAACGAGGAGTAATGCGGCAAGACCTGAGTGAGGACATAATATAAATGTCAGTCATACAAATAAATGGTTTTAACATAGCAAAAAGTATTTAGTTTTAGTCATAATAAACTTGTGTCGGTCTCGTTAAGACCCTTGTCTTAAGAAACACTTAGTGCAATGAAATATTTTATTAATTGAATATTGAGTCTACAGCCACAGGAATGCCAAATAAATATACGTTTACCTAATATAACATGACGTGATGTGGGTGAGCACTTAAACCGTAACGCCACTTGTTATAATACTGTTATTTACATGTATGTAGTTGAAATATAATTTTGTATTATGTGAATGAAAATAAAATAAATAATAACACAAAAATAAATATAATACTCGTAATTTAAAATGTTAATTATTATCGACATTATTATGATAAAAAGTAATATATGAATTTATCCCAGACTCCATTGATATTCTCAGCGTTGTATGTTGAATGCGCTAATTTGAATAAGAATTTAAAAAAATCTGTCAAGTGCGAGTAGAATTAGGATCGTACATGTATTTTTGATTAATATAACTTTTACTCTATGATGTACGTAGTATATTAGCTTCGATGATCGATTACGAACGTTAAAAAAATTTTCTTGTATTTTTATTTATAATAGCGGCAATAGAAATACATACTCTGTAAAAATTTCAACCCTCTACCTAACTCGGTTCATGAGATACAGCCCATTGACAGACGAACAGACGAACGGCCGGCTAAGGCGTAGTAATAGGGTTCCGTTGGCACTCTTCGGGTACGGAACCCTAAAAATCGGTGCGAAAAAAGTGCGAGCATGACTCACACACTGAGGGTTCCGTAGCATGAAACATTAAATATACCTAAGTTTAATATCATAATTTTTTTTGTGATGTAACTACAAAATTTATGGTTTTCGAATTTTTTCCTTTACTTGTGCTTTAAGACATTGGCTTCTTGCCAATTTTCAGGCTTTTAAGTCAACGGGAAGTACCCTATAGGTCTTGATTCCCTTGCGAGTGTCAAAATATGCGACATAAGCGGCCGTATCATTTGATTGTTTTGACTTAGATGTTTGATTTTTATCAGTTCCGAGGAATTTCAGAGTATTTGTATTCATTTCAACTTGATACCTCCACGCATTCCTAAGGAAGGGTCTTGACAAACAGACAGACAGATACAAAGACGGACACGGTTTTTTAAAGTTACGGAAACCTAAAAAGAAGTATGTAAATGATCCTAGATGTAAAGGCATAAGCAATTAGTTTTTAATTTATGATCTTACTCTATATCGTTAAGCTTGAAGAGTTTTGATATAATCGTGGCATAGCTGCTCTCTCTACCCGGCTTTACAGAACTCCATTGGGTCGAAAAATCCTGATAACCCTCTATATTATTTAAATATTATATTAATTGTAAAATTATCAGTTAATATGTTGGGACATTAACACACATCAACATCTAGTTCCATGGTAAGCTGCGAGGCCTGTGTTATGGATACTAGATAGTTGATACACTACAAATATATAACTTTAAATACATACATATTATAAATATAAACACCCATGACTGGAGTACAAACGTTCGTGCTCATCACACAAATGAATGCCCCCAGCGGGACTCGAACCCGCGACCGCTGGCACAGCAAGTAGGGTCACTACAAACTGAGCCACACGCGTCGTCAGTGAAGCGAAATTTACAGAAAAGCGTCGCGTCGACAACAAAATATGTTAAAAATAATTATTATTATTAAGGCGCTCTACGAAGATAAGATGAAGTGAACAAAGAAATGTAATTAAAAAATCTATTTGATAAAATGAAACGATCGTATTCATTTGTCGCGTTATCTGCTGACGGTACATTTTGTTCGGCTTCAATGGGATATTATTCAACGCTGTTTGAGTATTCATCGGGTCTGATCTCGACGGCGTCTTCGCAAATTGGCTCACTGCTTGTTATTATACTCCAGATTAAGAATGGTTCAGACAAGATTCTGATTTCGTTAAGCTTTGTGTAAATATTATGCCCAAATAAATTAGCATAATAATACGCGTTGAAAGCAATCGCTACTTTCTTGTTTCACATTGAAAGGTAAATTAATTTATTAGTTCTTTATAAATTTGGTTTTGATAGAGATTTTAAGTGTAGGTATTCTCAAAATATTTTTAAATATAATATGGCTACTTAGTGAATATAATAGGTACTAATATTTTTTATTACTTACGACGACCAAACGACACAAATATATAGCCGTCACTGAAGCTATATTTGCAGCACTTAAGATTTAACTTTCTATTTATATGTTGCTCCTCCGGTTACAGACGCTGTTATGAGATAGATCACGCATATGGATCACGCATGTTCAGTGTCCAGGCATGCAGATGAATGAATGCTCCCAACGGGACTCGAACCCGCGACCGTTGGCGCAGAAAGTATGGTCACTATAAACTGAGCCAAACGTGTCGTCAAAGTGAAAAATATTCGTATATTTATAAGTATCGTAACACTTAGTACGTTGAAGCTTATTAAATCGTACGTTGAGTAGTGCTTGTGCCGCGCCACTAAAGAGCGCAATCTATCGAGCCCCTCGTGCTCTCTGCAGTGCGGGCGACGGCCGCCGCGTGCAAACATGAGGCAAACGTACGTGAGCCATATGTAATTACTGGAACTATTTAACTATTTATTACCTATGTCTTAATATTTGGCGTAAATGGTTAATCAATTATACAATATAAAGTATTGTAAGGAATTAAAAGTTATGGTTTATATTCGGTGAATATTACTTTTTACCACGCCTCTGATCCACCTTCGCTTTGTTCAATGTTTTATCGTAGCCTGCGCATTTACCAACATTTGTATGAAAAATACTTATGCCCGACGGGCACCACATAATGTCCCGAATCATAAGCTTGTTTATATCAGCCTCTAACCAAAAAATATCTCTATGCTTAACATTATCGACACATTGTTGCTTCATACGTTTAGGCCCAGCTCCAACATGTCTGTCAAAAGAGTCTTTATATTGGTTTCTACTCAGTAATACTCAGTAATATAAACTGTACATGTTCTACAAATCCACAACGCACGGTAATCTAGTAGGTGTCGGTGAATCATCGCTCTTTTAATTCTTCACTCTCCTCCAACATAAAACAATACTGAGTGGTGGCCGGCGGCGTCCGGCGCAGAGCTTTATCTTAATCAGGCCGAGGCAGACATTTTTATGGACTCCAAATCCCAATTTCACATTCATATTCGTTATAGTGAAGTAGACACTGCTAGTTAGAAATACACTGCCACATAATATTGGCACTCATAAATTTTCTTTATTTGTATTTTAATAGTTACTGCTTACGGGAAGTCGTAAACAGTCACCGTGGTTTCACTATTAGCTACACACATTCTCTTATACCTATTAACTCTCACGCAAGATCTCTAGAAACATACCATTGGGATAATTGAAACATAATAATAATAAGCCTTTATTGTCCAAGATAACATCCCAAAAGTTTGAATAATTCAAACTTTAATAAAGATGTCCAATAAATTTATACAAACAGATAATAATACATGATCAGATATATGAATCATGACGTAATATGATGAATGTTTTTTTTTACAAAATATTGTTTTTGTAATACTATTTAATTATTTTTATTGTAAATTTTTTTATTTTATTACTAGTGGCTTACCGCTTCGCTTGAGTTCATCCTTAGCTTGTTTCCCAATACTAACTTTCATATCCATTTTCACCCTCTTAAGGGATGATTTCCGGGATAAAAAGTATCCTTCCCAGGGTCTCACAACAACAATAATCCGACAATATTTTACGATACGAAAAAAATACATTAGATTTGATTTGCATCGGCTGGCACCGACTTCGAAAATATGTTATTCGGTAACTATTCTAAATGAAAACCCCTGTTAAGTTATTTTTTACATTTTAGTGCCTGGAAGTCAGTTTTAATATATTTTTTAAAGTTTTTTCTCCGGCAATCCGTCATTACAGACATAAAATATTCATCGGTGGAAAGACAGCAATTAGTTTTAAGAGCACACGCCACATCTCCGAATTCGGAGTCATTAGGCAGATAGGTTCAGGTTGCAAAAAACGAAGAGTTAAGAAGATAACTTTATCCAAAGTGGAATGATTTTGAAAGATGCGAGCTTCGTAACACCCAGCGCTCCAAAATATATCGAATTCGAATCAGTTTGTCTTTCCTCTACAGATAAAACTTCGTTACATTTTTTTGGACATCCACACGAATAATCTCCCAAAAATGGTCTACTATTTACTAATTTTCCTTTAGCACTCACGTAATCTTGATTTGTATTACCTCGTCTTTTTCGTTTATCTCTGTTTTGATCTGCATTTTTTTCTTTCACGTCCCCTGCTTGGTCTTTTACTGATTGTAGCTGTGGCATCATCATTATCTTATACTTTGATGAAATCAGAATCTTCTAAGTTTTGGCTCGTATTTGTTGCGTCTACCTCGTTTGATAACTGTTGTTCAACTTCATTAATTATTAATTCTGCAACGGCTCCTATTTCACAGTCTGTATTGTTATTAGCATCTCGATCATACTCTGTTGTTTATATTTTCGAAGTCGGTGTGTTTTGGCTAAGTAATTAAAGCCTACCTATTAAATACATACCTAATCAAATATTTTCGAAAGCGGTGCCAGCCCATACAAAGCAAGCACACCGACTTCGAAAATATTTGATTAGGTATGTATAGTAAATGAAAACTACCAATCAGTTATTTTTTACTTTTTAGTGCTTTTGTTTGAAGTCGGTTTTTATTTTTTTGTTAAAAAGTTTTCATTTTTCCCTTTTTAGTGTAGACAGTAGTAGCAAAGTAAGAATTCTAACGTGTTAGGCTTGTCAAATAAAACAAAATAAGCCCAAAGTCAAAGTATCTACTATTAGCCGTTGAATAGTTCGACCTATCCACCTTCTGGCCTTACCATCAGATCTGGTCAACAATACCGAACCACTGTAAATCTCTATCAACGGAAATAGAAACACTTGCAAAGTTTCAAGTCAATATGATAATTAGAAGTAGGTTAAATTCATCATTAGCTATTTTTCCACCCATAGGGGTGGTATTTTTTTTGAAATTTAAATGGGACCAATCTGGAAGTATACACTTTCAAACAACACAAAAATTGTTCAAATTGGTTAATAAATGACGGAGTTCTGAGGTAACAAACATAAAAAAAAACAGTCGAATTGAGAACCTCCTCCTTTTTTAAGTCGGTTGATTAAAAGAACATTGTGGTTTAACGTTTTTAAAACGTATGATTTTTTATAAGAAATATGGGTTATTTGATTTAAAACGTTATTGCAAATCATTCTTAGATCAAAATGAGAATGGATTAAAAAAAAAACTTTTTTTGTGGGTTAACACGGTATTGCATATTGGCATCCATTTATAATATTTGTAAGAAGTAACATAACTAGATCTTGGTTCATTTAAGAATATCATAGAGAGACGAACATAAAATGTCTATTTTAAGTTGTATTTCATCACTCTGTTAACAAACAGCTCAGAATATATTATCTAGTACATTGGAGCAGATGGTAGCAGTCACTTTATTCGGTCATAACGACAACTAATGACAATGTAAGATACACAAGAGTCTAAAGTAGGTGTAAAAGTGGTACTGAGGCTCACATCACCTCGCACTTACTAGTTACATATGTCCGTGTACCATACACGAGCGTAATAAATCCAGTGAGTGCCCTCGTGTTGCAGTGAAGTAGGAAATTTATTGAGCTCTCAATAAACTTGTTTCATGTACCTGCTAACTACTGAGGCTGTTAACTTTTAGTGCCTATAAAGACTTGGCGTGAGTCAATGACTAAGTTGTTACTTGATGGATATATTTCTTATTAGCTTTTGCCCGCGGTTTCTCTCGAGGTATGGGAAATGAGCTATCTTCAATCCGAATTTCACTCACATCCATTTAGCTGATAGTGTCCAGAAATTTTGTATGTAAATGTATACGCACCTACTATAAACTTTTACGTTAATTTGGGACTATATTGTGTATATTGATTTGTGAACAACAGTACTTTTGAAAGAAGTTTTCTAAAATATTTTTATACAAAAATAAATATTTAAAAGTAGTGCTTTTCGATCTTACTGACTTCATATGAATATATGCTCCTGGCCATGGCACTGTGACACCCCGCGCTGCGCTCGTAACGGGTTATCCAGTTAATATGAAGGAGATGAACTTAGGATATTATGGCAAAACAGAAACAATGTAAGTGCTTAAAATGCTTTCCAGGAGGTAAAAACCTTTTTAATAAATGAATTGAGCAACTTATTACGCTCAATAATACAAGAAGACGGGCAAGTTGAAAATCAACTCGACACTAACATAATATGCAAACTATTTGTGTAAACAAGGAGAAGGAAGATAATACACTCGTATCTACAAACAAATGCTAAATCCCATGAATATTGAAATGTGAGGTATCTTAGTTATAAGACCGCTTGATAATTATTATTGAATGAGTGGATTTGCTCAGTGCGTGATAAGCAGTTTTCTTTGAACAATTTATAACTGACCTTGAAAAAGAAAGGGGTACTAAATTTGAGTATATTTTGTCGTGTGTATTTTCGTAATTATGCTAAATCTTAGTCCTAAATACATTTTTAATAAAGTTTCATTTCCAAGGAGATATTATTATATTCCAAATTCATATATTTTGAAAGTGGATTTTTTTTATTATTAATTTGGTAATACTTGAACTATGTATGTGTATGCTTTGAATCAAACGTTAAAATGGAAAGTGTTCGTGAACATTTACAAGTATACTACAATTTGCAAAATCTTATACAATATAATGTAAAGAATGTACCTAACTAGATGTAGTAATCTTAGTGGAGTAGTCGCTATAGTGTGGACTCAAATATTTTTACAGAAAATCATTTATTATTATACGTTAGCAATTGGTCAATTTTATGAAACTGTCTTATGTAACTAAGTACGGTTTCAATAAGTGATTCAATGAACTAATATGTACAGCATAATAATTAAATTCCATTTAAGTGCCCGAGAAGCCGCAGGAAACAATATAACGAGGGCAGATAATAGTTTTAGATAATGTGAACCGAAATTGAACTCCATTATATAAACTGTTCACGAGCGCTTGCCACGAGCCGTCTAAATACATGACATGCCAGAGTTGGGCCAAAGATTTGGTGAATTTACAGATTCTCAACGATTTTCTTCATCAATTATCTAAAGTAACATCTGGTTCTCGAGCGCCGCCGCGCCGCAGCGCGCTACCGTTGTTCTATAACTTGTCCTCTCTTTTCTGCAGTCGTCAAAAGTACTACTCTAATTCTTAACATTTGTCTAAGTTTCGTTGAAAAATGAATGTTTTATTTACAAATGACGAGCTGTCAAGAAATCACAGAGAGACTTGAGTCATCTTAGATAGAATATTTGAGATATATTGGTTAAGCAAATTATACATATAATTTACATATTTTTATGTTGAAGGCTGAATACTTTGAAAAATAATTAAAATTTCTAAAACAATTTTTATTATTTAAAGTTTTATGCTGTTTATATATATATGGAATTTTTACATATAATACTTTAGTAATACTGTCTTACGACGTGACTTCCTGAAGCCCGTTGTTTTGAGATCGTTATTACTTTTTCTTTCAAAGCAACTTAGGTCTAAGGCCGTGATGAGAAGTGACGTGCGCTGTATTATAAGTTTTATCAGAACTTCTTGTGCGGAACTCCGTGATGATTTAATTCGACTTGCAATTGCTAATGTCGGCTCGAGTTTGTTGTTTAGTTGGACGAAAGTTTTGTGTTCTGTACTTTTCGTATCTCGTATACCTAGTCGTATATATTGCATCTTATTGAACAAGAATTTACACTTCTTAATTAAATTTACTTTGTAGACCAGATTTTTATGAAGAAGTAGAAGAAGAATTTCTGTGAAGATTATTCTCTATAGGTACAATATAAATTTATACCGATACTAATAACTGAAGAGTTTATTATTTGTTTGTTTGAACGTACTAATCTCTGGAACAACCAGTTCGATCTGATTGTTTATATATATATATATATATATATATATATATATATGGAGAACGACTATATTATAACAGTACGCTACGATCCTAAGGAATTATTGTTATATTATTTTTATAATTGTTAATTATTTGTATAATTGTGTGTTATTATTTACAAGTATATTTATAACACACGCTAGTAGTAGGTAGTAAAATTATAAAGTTTTTTTTTATATCTGTAAGATACTAGGAATGCACTGGCAAGCAATCTGCAGCTTTAACTACTTCTTTCTGTCTGTATGTTTGCTTAGTCACTGACTGCGTGACATTACGGGCTAAATGTGCAGAGTTAGTAGTTTGATTGATTGATTTTCAATCAAAAACACCATAAGTCTCTATCGTTATTCTATTCCTTATGTGCAAAGTATCTACGTATTTATGTAGTGGTATCATATGTCAGAAAACGTGTAGTGGATTGTCATCCACTACACGTTTTCCAACAAGCCCTTTTTTGTCTAGGGGTTCACCTCTGTAGTGGGTATCCACTTTCAGAAAGCCGCCTCTCTTGTTTGAGAAAAATGAGACTACATAATATATATTTGTGTCTAATGGGCAGGTATAGCTATGTAAATATTTTGTTATCAAAAATGTAAAATTTGAAAAAATATAATTTTTATTTTATTAATCAATAGTTAACTATGCTCTATTAGCCAATACATATATTGTGGATCTTTTTTGTTAGTACATAATTTATAACATAGGTGTGAATTTTGAATCTTCCTTATAAGTTTTTATGTTTTTATTTAAATTGTAAAATATTTTTATTATAAATGGAACTACTTACGCACGTCAATCGTCTTCAACTTTTTGTAAAATATTCTTACTATAAAGTAACACTTTATCAGGTTTCATTTTATATAATATTCATATTTAAAACTTTAAATAAAACAATTTATCCGCGAATAAATCTAAATAATATGTAGTTTTAATTAATTTAAATTAAAGAATTACTTGAAACTTGTTATTAATAATGCTCTTAAATACAATTAAATAAATAAGTATGTAAGTATTTTTCAAAATTCCCATAAGGGAGTAAAATAGAGGATGAAAGTTTGTATGAAACCTCTATCTAGAGAATTTTTGTAGTTTTAGCGCGAGTGAAGCCGCGAGTTCTGCTAGTATTATATGAATACCATAATATGGAGTTTGATATTTGGTTACATTCAATGTTACATGTTACGGTCGGCAGAACACCGGCCAGGGATCGAGGGTTAAACTCCTTAAGTTCAAAGGATTATCGCTGGATGATAGTAGATAAAAGTTCCTCAAACCAACTTTTGTGTACTATCTCAGCAGTAGATATTCGATAAAACTTTG